GTGGAGCACTGGGTGTTATGCACAAACAATGAATCATGGAACACCGCATCAAAAACTAATGATGTAATGTATGGTGATTAACATAACAATAAAAATTATTAAAAAAAAAAAGTTACACACAGATTTTTGACTCTGTGGAAGGAAGGCCAGTGTCCCTTAGCCTCTGTGTTGTTTAAGGGTCAACTGTGATTCAAAAGCTATTTGGAAGTTTGTCATTTGAAAGCAGATTCAAGTAAAACAAGGTATCTTGCTTATCCACAGAAACAAGATACAGTTTGAAGGAAACAGACCAAACACCAAAAAAAAAAAAAAAAAAAAAAAAAATCCCAAATATACAAGCCAGACAGAATCTCCATCCTAGAAGCAGAAGAGATTTCCAACCACTCCTTTGACAGGGCTGGTCTCAGCGGCATTTGAGTAGGTATTTCATCCCGTGGGCCCTCTCTGAATACAAGGCTTCAAGCTCCTGTGATTCTCTTCTGGGGGCTTCTCTGTGGTGTCTCCATGCTAACCATCCTACATCTGACTACACAAACATCTCTCTTGAATGCCAAACCCATATTAAAACCACCCAGGGGGCAGCAATATGATGTCGCACAGGCACGTGAACACTAAAATCATCATCTTCTCCACAAAACCTATTTCTATGTTTCCCAACTCAGAGAACCAAACCACCAACCACCCAGCATGAACACTCACATCCCATCATAAGCTCTATCACTGCCTCTAATCTATTCTTAAATATCATTTCAATCTGCCTACTGTTCTCTATCAACATTGGTATTACCCTAACCCAGGGCACCATCATCTTCAACTTCAAATATTACAGGAAACTCCTAACTGGTTTTCTTAAAACCTGTGGTCTTGTCACCCCTGACATCAACTTCTCAAGCCACTCAATACATACACATCACTGATCTAGTCAGTCTCTTGCTTAAAACTCAACAGCTTTCCAAACCAACCAGGAGCAAGAACATATTTTTAAAACCGTTCAGAAGACCCTTTGGGAATTAATCTCTTTAGTTCCGTCACTATAAGATCACTAATCTCAAATTCTAAACTCAAGAAATTTAGTATGACTAGAAGTTCTGGAAGGAAATATTGATCTCTTCTCTCCCTCTCATCTCCATGACCCTTAACAAGCTCGCTCCTCTGCCCTCTCTTCTCTTTATTGCCTGGCAAACTCTTTCTCTTGAAAGCTTCTCCAGTGCCTCAAGTCTACATCCACTCACAGCATTTTTCTACACAGAATAACAATTTCCAATTTGCTAGTCCACATTCCTCACCAGAATATAAAATCTATGAAAGAAGGGATGGTGTCTGTCTTGGTCACTTAACTTAATGCTTGATACATTTCAAAAACAAATCCCAGTAGGATCTCTTTTTTAACAACTTAAGTATTCCAATAGAAAAGCAAAAAAAAGAACCATTTATATGAAATGACAACGAGAAGTCACACAGGAGATTTCCACATCACTACTAATTAAAGAATTTCAAATTATGATTATATACTATTTTCATCTTGTTATTATTGCTTTTCTTTCTAAATGAAAAAAATCTAATGTTAGCAGATGTGGGCAGACACCTCAATGGCTACAGTGAGATCATAACTTGGCACAATCATTTTTAAGGTCCATTTGGCAATGCATATGAAATGAAGTATGCATAACCTTTAACCCAGTGATCTTACTTATAGAAAACACTGGACTGGTATACTCATCAATAATATACTTTCCTCATTTATTCAAAAAATATCTGAGTGTCTACTATATGCCAGGCACTAGGGATTCAATGGAGACTCTGCTCTAAGGATTTACAAATAGTGATATATAAGAATGTCCAAAGGGACACCTGGGTGGCTCAGTCAGTTGGGTGTCTGACTCTTGATTTTGGCTCAGGCGTGATCTCAGGGTTGTGGGATCAGGCCCCACATTGGGCTCCACACTGGGTGTGGGGCCTGCTTGGGACTCTCTCTCTCCCTCTGCCCCTGCCCCTCCCCCTCTAAAAAAAAAAAAAAGAAGAATGTCCAAAGAATTACACGTTAAATCAGGTTAAAATGATAAATAATTGTTTCAAAAAGGATAGGTGTAATTACACATACATACAGTGAAATTCTACGCAGTTATCAAAAATGATGACTCATACATGTTTACTAAAATGGAAAGATACCCACATATATCGTTATGTGAAAAAAAAGGATGTTATAAAACATTATATACAGAATGATCTAACTTGGGGTAGAAGAGGAGTACTATGAATATAAGCATAAGAAAAAAAAGTCTGGAACTATATCATACCAAAATGTTAATAGGCAGTTTTACCTGGCTGGTGAGATTAAGAGTAATTTTAATTTTCTCTTTCATGAGTTCCTATACTTTCTGAGTTTTTTATAATATGAATTTACTATTTTGATAATGAAAATCAATATAATTTGGAAAAAAAAGTACAAATATCCCCTCAATATATCTGATCTCAGGTAAGTATGAGAAAGAAATCAAAATTTCTTTTCTGCAAGGAAGGAGCTTGAGTGCAAATAAAATATAAAACACATAGAAAGCAGTCACTCAGCTCAAATAACTTACATTAATAAATGACTCAATATAGCATACTGCCCCAGGTTCTCTGCAGTGTTTTAAAATGAAGCATTTTAAGTCAAATATTAGAATTACTATAATCTCATACAGGGTAGCAGAATGAACAGGGCCCAAGATAAGCATAAATTCATGCTTGATCTATCTTCTTTCACTCTTCATTCTCTAATAGCTCCAGATATTTTTAAAATATCGGCATTCAGAGGACCAATAGTCCTTGAAATATACCAGTCACATTTAAGGTGTAGATATGTTTTCTGTCAATTCTTCTTAGAACAAACAAACAAAGCTAGGACTTCTGTTTATAACATTGCGGAGTAAAGATTTTACTTGTCCCCCCTACTCCCTATTCTGAAGAATCCATGAAAACTCTCAACCCAAGCAAGACAGAGTTTTAAATTCTGGCTAAGCCCAAACTATGGGGAGCCTATCCTACCAAAGAACTAGCCAAGAATTTTCCAATACCCATTTTGCCTTCACAACCCCCGCTCTCAGAGGGATCATAAACCCTGGTTGCTGCTCGTAAGCCTCAGGAGACGGAAAGATAAGAAAAACAAAACAATCACCAGTCCTCTTCCCAGATTGCAGGCAACTAGCCTGCAACAGGTCAGAGGGGTTGGGAGTTTTAATTTTTTTAAAAGTCAGAATTTTTAACTGCACATGGGGCTGGACCTTCTGAGAACCAGATCAAAAGTGTGTTTAAAATTAAAGTACTTACCAGACATTTTATTTATTTATTTTTTTTAATAATTTTTTTATTGTTATGTTAACCACCATACATTACATCATTAGTTTTTGTACCAGACATTTTATTAACTAAAAGTCATGAGGCTGAGTTTCAAGAGAAGGGACAACTTCTCTTACTCAAATTTTAAATGTACAATGGGAAACAAAAATTAAGATGCTCTGTGAATATATCTATACATATACATATAGAGAGAGAGAGAGAGAGAGAGAGATACATCATGAATTCTCCTTGTTCAATGTACTGGTTATACATATTTACTAGCATTTTCTTACTCTTGAAATTAATGTATACTATTTAAGGCCAATAAAAAATGCCATTACCAAACTTATTTCCTTACCTGTAATGCTAATAGTTTTAAAATGTCTGAGACATCATTATCTTCTAGATTTTCCTGGGAGAATATTTCATAAAGAGGAGCTTCATCTGGGTATTTTTCACTGTATGTAAACTTGAGGGTAGTCTGGACAGCTAAAGACATAAGATAAGAGTATGATATGAATATCTTAAAATGTAGAGAGGTCAACATTTTTGTTGAATCAGTAATTAATTTACAACGTGTCAATGAAACGTAGCACAACAGATTTTCCTGCAACGAAAAACAAGGTTACTATGAGATCAGACAGATAATCGCTAAGATAAATAACACATACTGTGAAGATAAGTGAAAACAAATCATGCGAATACCAAAAATCACCTCAAACACATGAAATACATTTATTACTTATGAATATTTTACCATATTGCATATCTGAGAAAGAGGATGGATAAAAGCCACTCTTTTTAAAATCCTCCTTAAGATGAACAAAAGGCACAGAATATAATACATAGAGAAAAAATACTACCTTAGGCTTATTTTCAGGCCTCTACCAGAGTCAGTGCCCAGTGAGGAAGATCTTGCATTAGTCCTGGAGTCTATATTTCTATATGCACAATGCCAGCAGGGTACTGCTAAGGGGTTGCTAGATGACACGGTTTTGAAATAGGGTTTAAAGAGGGTGTCTGAGAAACTTTTAACCTGACTCATTTATACATTCTCGCTCACTCTTTTGGCCTGTATCAATGCATACATCTGATATTTGTATAGGAATGAGATCCTTACAGGCAGATCAGTGCAAGGTATCTCTCTATAGACCAACTGGTGAATTCTCAATTCCACCAGGCAATTTGCAACTAAGCAGCAGTGCTAAACATTTTCTGTTAAAACTTAACTATTCACAAAAAAAAATTAAAATTAAAAAATAAAACATTAATCACAATGATCCTTTGTCTAGACTTTGCCTTTCTTGTAAAAACTCACATTTTAATTATTAAAAACTCCCGATTTTGATATTTTAACTCAAATCTAGATTCCTCCTCATAAGAGAAAAAAAACACCTTAAAATGTGCGAGTTTGATATTTTGTTTTAATTTTTGTGTATGATATCAATAAGGAATTTTATGAGTCAATGGATATAAGAAAGACTGTTAACCCAAATAGATAAAATCATGAATGAAAGAGGAGAGATCACAACCAGTATCACAGAAATATGATTATAAGAGAATAGTATGAAAAATTATATGCCAACAAATTGGGCAACCAGGAAGCAAATGAATAAATTCCTAGAAACCTACAAACTACCAAAACTGAAACAGGAAGAAATAGAAATTTGAACAGACCCATAACCAGCAAAGAAATTAAATCAATAATCAAAAATCTCCCAACAAACAAAAGCCCAGGGCCAGATGGCTTCCCAGGGGAATTCTACCAAACATTTAAAGAAGAATTAATACCTATTCTCTTCAAACTGTTCCAAAAATAGAAATGGAAGGAAAACTTCCAAACTCATTCTCCGAAGCCAACACTACCTCGACTCCAAAACCAGACAAAGACCCCACTAAAAAGGAGAATTACAGGCCAGTATCTCTGATGAACGTGTATGCAAAAATTCTCAACAAAATACTAGCAAACTGAATCCAACAGCACATTAAAGGAATCATTCACCATGATCAAGTGAGATTTATTCCTGGACTGCAAGGATGGTTCAATATTCGTAAATCAATCCATGTGATACACCACATTAATAAAAAAAAGGATAAGAACTGTATGATCCTCTCAATAGATGCAGAAAAAGTATTTGACAAAATGCAGCATCCATTTTTGATAAAAACCTTCAACGAAGTAGGGATAGAGGAAACATACCTTAACATCATAAAGGCCATATATGAAAAGACCCGCAGCTACTATCACCCTCAATGGGGAAAAACTGAGAGCCTTTCCCCTATGGTCAGGAACAAGATGTCCATGCTCACCACTACCATTTAACAGAGTATTGGAAGTCTTAGCTTCAACAATCATACAACAAAAAGAAATAAAAGGCATCCAAATTGGCAAGAAGAAGTCAAACTTTCACTATTTGCAGACAACATGATACTCTACGTAGAAAACCTGAAAGACTCCACCAAAAAATTGCTAGAACTAATACATGAATTCAGCAAAGTTGCAGGATATAAAATCAATGTGCAGAAATCTGTTGCATTTCTATACACCAAAAATGAAGCAGCAGAAAAAGAAATCAAGGAATCGATCCCATTTGCAACTGTACCAAAAACGGTAAGATACCTAGGAATAAACCTAACTAAAGAGGTAAAAGATTTATACTCTGAAAACTATAGAATACTTATGAAAGAAATTGAAAAGGGCACAAAGAAATGGAAAAATATTCCAAGCTCATGGATTAGAAGAAAAAACACTGTTAAAACGTCTATACTACCCAAAGCAATCTACACATTCAATACAACCCCTATCAAAATACCACCAGCATTTTTCACAGAGCTAGACCAAACAATCCTAAAATTTGTATGGAACCACAAAAGACCCTGAATAGCCAAAGCAATCTTGGAAAAGAAAAACAAAACTGGAGACATCACAATTCTGGACTTCAAGCTACATTACAAAGCTGTAGTCATCAAGACAGTATGGCACTGGCACAAAAATAGACACATTGATCAAAGGAACGAAAAAAAACCCAGAAATGGACCCATAACTACATGGTCAGTTAATCTTCGACAAAGCAAGAAGGAATAAAGAATATCCGATGGGGGGTAAAAACAATCTCTTCAACAAATGGTGTTGGGAAAACTGGACAGCAACATGCAGAAGAATGAAACTGGACCACTTTCTTACACGATACACAAAAATAAATTCAAAATGGATGAAAGACCTAAATGTGAGACAGAAAACCATCAAAATCCTAGAGAACATAAGCAGCAACTTCTTTGACCTCAGCTGTAGCAACTTATTAGACACATTGTTGAAGGCAAGGGAAACAAAAGCAAAAATGAACTACTGGGACTTCATCAATATAAAAAGCTTCTGCACAGTGAAGGAAACAATCAACAAAACTAAAAGGCAGCCTATGGAATGGGAGAAGATATTTGCAAATGACATATCTGATAAAGGGTCAGTATCCAAAATCTATAAAGAACTTATCAAACTTAACACCCAAAAAACAACTGAGTTAAGAAATGGGCATAAAAAAATAAAATAAAATAAAATAAAAAGAAAAGAAATGGGCATTAGACATGAATAGACACTTTTCTAAAGACACATACAGATGGCTAACAGACACATGAAAAGATGCTCAACATCACTCATCATCATCAAAACCACAATGAGATACCACCTCACAGCTGTCAGAACGGCTAAAATGAACAACACAGGAAACAATGGATGTTGGTGAGGATGCAGAGAAAGAGGAACACTCTTGCACTACTGGCAGGAATGCAAACTGGTGCAGCCATTCTGGAGAACAGTTTGGACGTTCCTCAAAAAGTTAAAGATAGGGCTGCCTAGATGGCTCAGTTGGTTGAGCATCCTCTTGGTCTGGGCTCAGGTCAAGATCTCATGGGTTGTGGCACAGAGCCCATTGGGCTCTGTGCTCGTGCAGAGCCTGCTTGGAATTCTCTCTCCTCTCCCTCTGCCCCTACCCGCCCCCCCCACACACTCTCTTTCTCTCTCTCTCTAAAATAAATAAATCCTTAAAAAAAAGTTACTGTATGGTGACTAACATAATAAAAAAATTATTAAAAAAAACAATAAATAAAAAAAAAGTAAGAAACAGAACTACCCTACAATCCAGCACCTGCACTACTAGGTATTCACCCAAAAGATACAAAATACAGATTCAAAAGGGTACATGCACCCCAATGTTTAGAGCAGCATTATCAACAATAGCCAAACTCTGGAGAGAGCCCAAATGTCCATCGACTGATGAACAGATAAAGATGTGGTATATATACACAACGGAGTATTACTCAGCCATCAAAAAAAAAAAAAAAAGAAATCTTGCCATTCGCAATGATGTGGATGGAGCTAGAGTATATTATGCTAAGTGAAATAAGTCAGTCAGAGAAAGACAAATATCATAGGAACTCACGCATATGTGGAATTTAAGAAAGAAAACAGATGAACATATGGGAAGGGGGAAAAGAAAAAAAAAGAAGAGGGAAACAAACTATAAGAGACTCTTGACTACAGAGAACAAACTGAGGGTTGATGGAGGTAGGTGGGTGGGGGATGGGCTAGATGAGTGATGAGTATTAAAGAAGGCACTTGTTAATGATGAGCACTGTGTGTTATATGTAAGTGATGAACCACTGAATTCTACTCCTAAAACCAATGTTGCACTGTATGTTAACTAAGTAAAATTAAAAAAAAAAAAAAAAAAAAAGATTGTTAGGCCAATAAGGATACACAGTGTCTTTTGGCATTTTCTTTCTTAATTAATACATTTCTAATTTTATTGCTAGAACAAGATTTTTTTTATACATTTATTGATTTTACTATTTGATGTAATAGACATTCATTACAGAAAATTTAGAAATATATAAAGGGGGAAACAAAATCAGTAATAATCCCACCATCAGGAAAAGATCACCAAAAGTATTTTTTAAAGGATATTTTAAAGTATCTTCTATACATTTATTTACATTTCAAACTATAAAAGAATACAGAGGTTGTATTTGAGATTCTTTTTTTTTTTTTTTAAAGATTTTATTCCTTTACTTGACAGAGAGAGGCACAGCAGAAGAGGGAACACAAGCAGGGGGAGTGGGAGAGGGAGAAGCAGGCTCCTGGCTGAGCAGGGAGCCTGACACGGGGCTCGATCCCAGGACCCCGGTACCACGACCCAAGCCGAAGCAGACGCCCAACAACTGAGCCACCCAGGCGCCCTTGTATTTGAGATTCTTTGTATAAAACCTACATATATATATAAAAAATATAGAAGTAAATAACTGTGTCCAACATCTTTTTAATTCAGATTTTAGTAATAGCTCTTTGCTAATCTCATTTTCAGTTGTACAAGACAGATTTAGAGTTATCAAGTAATATCGCTAAAATTTGCATTACTGACTGCTCATAGCAAAATTTCAGTTGACTAGCTTAATGCTAAAAAAAAAAAAAAAAAAAAATCCTTGGGGTTAATGCCAATTTATGGAACATTTTTACCAAATCCCAAAATTAACTGGACTAATCCTCCCCCAACATCTGCCACATTTAAATCAATCTATTTAATTGTAAATTATTGGTTTTACAGCTGTTTTATTTCCATCAGTATATATATCTTAGTTCTACAGTTGTATATTAGTGGCTTTTACCTGTTTTATGTATAAATATATTTAAACTACAGTACAATATAATATCCATCCTAAAGAGAAAATCATAAAGAAAGACATTTATCCAGCTTAATTTTTTTTTCGATTTTATTTATTTGACAGAGAGAGACACAGCGAGAGAGGAAACACAAGCAGGGAGAGTAGGAGAGGGAGAAGCAGGCTTTCCGCTGAGCAGGGAGCCTGATGCGGGGCTCGATCCCAGGACCCTGGGATCATGACCTGAGCCCAAGGCAGATGCTTAATGACTGAGTCACCCAGGCCCCCCTATCCAGCTTAATTTATAAATAAACAGCAAATGTCCAATAAGCAATCTAAATACCCAAAGAGGAAAAACAATCATGGAAAAATAACATGGAATACCTCATAGTCACTGAAATATGCATGCATTCAAAGTCTCGCTTTAGACAGTAATCTTCTACCTTTTCTCCATTTGCTACATTGTTAGTTTCTTTTTCACTTTTTAAAACTAAGTTCATTGTGTCAGAATATATCTCACTGACTTCCTCTCTCTCTATAAGTCATGTTTACATAGTAAATGTTAATTAGAGATTCACAACATTCATGCTAGATTCCTAACAGCACCTTACTTATTAGCACCTTCACATCTTCAATGCCCAACATAATGGCTGCAGAAGGAGTAACATTCCTGAGAGCAACTTAGGAAAACCACAGTATTTTTGATTGGACTTACTTTCATCATTTTCTCCAGCCTCAGATGTCACAGTAATGGTGAAACTGGGTGGATTTTCTGATAATACTGCAAGAAAATATACACAGAGATTAAGTTATTAATATGCTTCCTAAGGCAAATACTTTTCTTATTAGCAAAATATCACTACCCAGTCCCAAAAACTGATCCCTAGTCTGTATTTCCATTTCCACAAATACAGACTGAACCATTCAAATGATAAAACACTCGTCAATTTTCTATTTAAATCTAGGGTTATCTTTAATTTGAAAAAAAAATACCTATAGTAGATAAACTCTTGGGAGTTTTATCAAATCAATTAAAATAATTAATTTACCTTTTAATTCAAAATTTCCATCTATACAGGGAAAATTACATTCTAAAAAATTCCCAAACAGAATGACAAAAAAAGTTTGATGTTTCATCAGAAACTATCCACTGATACTCAGTATTATCACTAATTTTTAAATTTATATATTCTAAGATATAATTTAGAATCTCCATGACAAACAATAAATATTAATTTGTTAGAGTTTGTGTCTTCTATCTCTTTCTCCCACATCATCCCTAGAACCAAACTTTATTCTTTTACCAATTATTGAGTCTCTACCATCTTTCAAGGAATTATAAAATTAGCCATGAATCCAAACATCAAATTGCTTACAATTTGTTAAGCAAGTCAAGACATGCAAATCAACATTTATATAAATAAGAAAGCATATATACCATTTTACAGCCTGATACCTGATAGTATGTTTATATCTCTTCCCCTATAAGAATACTATAAAAATTATGAGAGCTCCTAGAACAGTGCCTGGCAGTATCTAGAAATTCAACAAATTCTGGCTAAATGGCAGAGCCAAAACAATGGAATGAAAGTAGAAAAACAAAAACAAATTAAACTGATATTCAGAGCCATTAGAAGAGTAAACAAGAAAAATGCAGGCCACCTGTGATTGCTGCTGAGCCCCTGAGAAAAGCCTGTGCCTCACTGCAGCCCTGGGAAGCACTGGCCCCTGTCAAGGTTGGGAGCAGCTCAGCAACCTCTTTCTGAAATGAAAGGGCAAGGAGATCTCTGAAGAAGTCACCACGGAAAATACTCAGCTTTTCCTACTCAAGAACTTCTGAAGCCTTCATAAATATTCATTATCAATAAAATTTTCAAGACATATGCCTTCATTTTAATTGAAGTTTAAAAGTACCTGAAGCATGATGAATATCTATGATTATTATGAAAGTATTTGTCAAGAAGATAAGACTCACTGGACTCAGATAGTCCAGCCCACGCTAAAAAAAAGTCCCTGAAAGGTAATTATAATAAAGGTTTTAAAATATGATTGACCCTTTTTTTTTGACAAATGTGTATAAAATATATTTGATGCATTTCATTTCTACTTCTTTTCATGACCAACTTTAGCATTTACTTATCATAAAATGTAAACATAGCAACTACAGAAATAAGGGTTCAACTCAATGACAGTCCAACTGATCACCCCTTTTAGGACTCCATGAGCCATAATTTAAGGGTCGCCTATACCTAGTTAACAGTTAACATTTATTGAGCACTACTTTGGGCCTGTGTTTACTATGCATTTACACAAAGATCCTTTAATTCTTACACCAAGACCACGATTTTATACTGTTACCATATGACACCAAATTTAAGATACTATCAACTATGAGATGCATTCTACCTTATGTACTGAGAAAAAAAAATCTGCCAATTAAACTTCAATATGTAATCGATTATAAGACAAATTCCTATTTCAGAGATGTTAAAACATACAAATGTCTCAGAACTAATTAAATATAGTATTATCCCAATTTCATAGATGTGGAAACTGAGATAAAAGAGCTCTTAAATAATCTGCCCAAGGTTATTCAGCTAGTAACTGGAAGAACTGAATAAACTATATTGAGTTTCATGTAAAAAGAAAATGTTTTTTTCCAGCTGAGAAATTCCAGCAAAGTCACTTGAGCTAGACCGTGAATTAAGGCATTTGGTAAGTAAAGATGGAGAAAAGAAATGCAGGCAACAGAAACACGGCAGCAAGGGTATAATGGTGGAAAAGTTTAAGGAATATATAGGGAAGAAGAAATTATTCCATTTGGTGGATGTATATGTGGGTGAACAAAACTAGTTGAAAAAATACTGCTGAAAGTTCAGTTGTGGACAATGACAGTTTTTTTAGCAGCATGGGCAGAATTGTATTTCTAATCATAGGAAGATAAGTCTAGCAACAGGGCATAAATTGGAAGGAAAGAAACAAGACTAGAGGCAGGATGAAACTAGACAGCTATTAAAATCATCCCAGCAAGGTTAATGAGGTTCCGAACTAGGTTAGCAGCCACGGGAATAGCAGGGAACAGGTAGGACTCTATATTCCAAATTTGCAGGCAGAGGACGGTAGTGCAACTAACAAAAACAAAAAATACAAAAGAAAGATCAGAGATGATACATTTAAATGACACAAAGAACTTTCAGCTGGAGATACCGAGTATGCAATATGCAATCAGAAATGGGCAAATGGAGCTAAAGCTATTAGACTAAACGAGATCACCAGAGGAAAAAATAGAGAAATAGGGCCAACACTGGCTTTGTAAGGAATTCTAAATTTGGGAAACAAAAGTACGAGGAGGAAAAAGTGCCAGAGAGAAAAAGAAAAGCAGCAGCCATGAGAGGTCAAAACAAACTCGAGAAGCCTATTTTATTTGTGAAGGCATCCTAACTATTGCGATCCAGGTATGGTATGGCACTGTCTACAATGTGTACTATATGGGTCTGTCTAGCCCTATCAGGGGGAAATGGGTGATGAACCACTGGCCTGAAAGATCAGATCTAAAAATCCCTAACAAGGCCCTCTGTAATCTGGCCCCTGCTCACTTGTCAGGCCTCATTTTTCATGACTCTCAGTACTCACTTTATGTTTTAGGCATATCAAGCCACTTTTCCTTTAAATACATTTTGCTTTCAGAGAGTCCTGCTTCACAGTCTCATTCACTTGTTAGCTCCTCATCACTCCTCAGTTCTCCAAAACAACCAAGACCCTCCCCTTTTCCTGTGCTCTGGCTGCATCCTATGCATTCCTCCATGAAAGAATCGTCACACTATGTTGTAAATTACTTATCTGATGTCTTTTCCCAACTGACTGAGATTCTAACAATGTATATAATAAATATTTGGTAAATGAGGACTTGGGATGCTAGCAAGAACATCACTGATTTGCCTGACCTTGGGAAACATACAGAATAGAGGCAAGACAGACAAGAAAGAAGTTGATAAACTCTTAATCCACGAGAAATCATGATGAGAGGCATGTTCAGCAAAAGAACTGGGATGAAGAACTGTGGGACTACAAAGTTTATGGACAGAAAGAGGACTTTCAGAAGGCAAAATTCTAAAGATGGCATTTACAAGGTGTGGCTATGCCCCCATACAGTTGAAGGAAATGGAAATCAAAACTGTTCATTGATAAAGACAAGGAATTATGAAGCCATATTAGAAGAATCAGCAACTAAGATGGTAAATCTCTAGTAAAGAATAACATATATTTAAGAGTTATAAAGTATTTGCATACTTTGTACTACTCCTCATTAAACACACATGGAAACTGAAGCTTGGAGATGTTATATGAGTTGCCCAAAGACACAGAGCTCATATCCCCTACACCAAGCTGCCATTATAGAGAAAAAAATGTGAACCAAGAACAACAACAAAGGATACTGGAGAACACTACTTATATCCCCTACTATCTACTCACCCCAACTTCTAGTTATACCACTTTTAACTGAGCATATTAACCACCCAGAATAAAGACTGTATTTCCACCCTCCCTCCCAGTTAGGTCTCACCAAATGACCAAGTTCCAGCTAATGAGATGGAAGCAAATAAGTCCTTTGACAGTTTCCAGGAAATTTACTTAAGAAACCGCAGTCTTTGGCTTCTCTCCCCCACCCCCCCCACCAATTCCTATATCTACCCTACTGCCTGGAAAGGAATGCTGCCGTCTTCATCATGAGGTAGAGACCACGTCTTAGGAGTGACAAGGAACTAAGAAGCAGCCTGGGTACCTGAGGAATTCTTGGACTAGAGCCACACAACTATGTCTTATGCGCAAAAGCAAAAAACTTTTACCTTTTTTAATTTAATTTTATTTATTTAGAGAGAGAGCATGAGCGGGGGGAGGGGGGAGGAATTTCAAGCAGACTCCGAGCTAAGTGTAGAGCCTGATGCAGGGCTAGATCCCACGACCCTGAGATCATGACCTGAGCCGAAACCAAGAGTCAGACACTTAACCAACTGAGCCACCCAGGCACCCCTAAACTTTTACCTTTTTGCTTTTTGGGGTTTTCTGTCACAGCTGAACCTAATCCAAGGAAAGGAAAGTAAGGAAAGGGGAAAGGAAAGGAAAAGGGAAAGGGAGGAAAGGAAAGGAAAAGGAAAGGAACAGGGAAAAGACAGGAAAAAGAAAGAATATTCCAAAATTTGGAGGAGACTAACATTGGGATGGGAAAGTTATTTAATTGGACTAGCAAAGATGAATGATTCATCAGCACTCTGATAAAGGAATAATCCCATTCCAATGCATTACTGTGAGTTGGGATAAAATTAGCCTTCACTAAAGATGCCAGATTTCCACCATTGTAAGTGGATCAAAATATTTTTGAGAAAAATAAGGCCATTGGGCATAGTGGAAGGAATGAGTGGACAAGCAGGAGAACTATTAAGTGATAGAGAGGCAGATGATGGTAAACTGGACAGAATTAAGGACAGACATAATGGAGGTAATAGCTGAAAGGTACATTAAAGGGACATATGAATGACATCAAGGTTTTCACAAAGAACCAGACAGCCCATATTAAAATAAGTCCCTGTGGTTCTTAGGGAGTGTCTTAGAAAAACGTCTTTTAAAAGATGACTTCTGCCCCATCTCTAAGATGCAATTATAACTGTTACATGCTCACGTTTGCTACTTAGAGGTACTGACACAAGCAAATACAGAATTACGTACCCCTCTTTGTAAGACCAAACAGAATTAAGGGAACTCGACTTTTGGTTAGCCCGAAGCCAACCAATTTGTTTCAACAAAATTCCCCATAGTCAGAGATTTTGATACAGAAATGGAAATAACCAAATTCTACTACCTTAGCAGGGCCTTGTCAAGTGAAGCACTACTGAAGGAGAATGTGGTATCAGGAGAGTCCATTTATATTTTGGAAGACTAGTTGTTAGGAGGATTGGATCAATGTGCAATCAAGCTACAGAACAGGCAAAAAGAAGAAACTGTATTATGATTTGTTATAATTCACAACAAATTCAACAGTGGACCAAAAGTTCTTTGCAAATAGTCAAGCAATCAATTCCGAGGTTAGGCTAGGTCTATGAGGCTAGGTCTACGTGGCTATAACTATGGGCTAGCTGGATTGTGCCTCTTAAAGCAACCACAAGGGGGTCATGATGTGCTTAACAAAGGGTTCTCTGTCAAGCACCAAGCTATCTATTTAAAAAAAAAAAAAAGTACATCTACTTCCTTCCTCAAGACCATTGAGCATTTACCAAATCTAATATTAAATGTGACTCAAAATGAAATTAGAAAACTGCCAATCAGTGTTCCTTGGCAAACTGACACAAGCAAGCTCTCTTCTTAAACCTGGTATGAAAACAGGAAAGTATGAAATCAACCCAAAAGAAGGCTGTAAAACAGTAAATCTTGCAAATCCTCATAATTTCAAAAGATCAAACATGGAAGGGTTTTATTCCAAACTCCTCTGCCTTTTCCCTGAGAGGTTACATAAACAACACGATCATGAGTGAGGCAAAGTCCCTAAAGAAGTATAAATCAAGACATCTTATTTTATTTATTGCAAAGTTTATAGGAATGCTGGTAGGAATTAGAGACGGATGGGCTCAGCTGATACTGCAGAATACTTGAATGCATCAAAGATTCATAAACTGTCTTATTACCCTGGCTCAGAATCCTCAAGCACTTTTGCATCTGACAAGAATTTCACATACTGAACTGTATCAGAGCTTAGTACAATTTGAAAGAACCATAAGATTGGTTTAGGACTAAAAAATGTATCACTTTTTTAAAATGCTTATATGCACAGTATTTAATGAGGGATACCTTATGTCCATAGAAAAAACTAGCACACCTTATGCTTTCTTAACTCTACCTACACAGTGCCAATTACATTTCCAATGTACTAGAAATGACCAAACTTCACGATTAAGAATATATCCAACAACTGACCCTATATTCTCTTTTATTTAGACATTGACATATAAGCAAGGATAGAGAAGGGAGCCAGACTCCATACACACTCACCCAGTTAATGACACTCTCAAACCCCTCTTCACTCATCCCCTTAACATCCTCACAGCACAGCTGTACTGCTGGTGAGAGAGAACATGAACAGGACTGGAACTATACAGGGGAAGCTGAGAGACATCTGCCTGTTGGCAAAGCAGAACAAAATTTGCTACCATTGCAAGCAGTGGTCAAAAAATGGAGCTAAGAAAACTAAGCTAAACAATGAAAGGGAGAGGGATTGGAGTTGAACATACCTTACATTCTGAATTCTGACACTGATGAACAACAAAGGAAGGGATAGGGGCTGTAAATCCCACAAACCTAGGTTCCACTCACTCATACTGGCTTTATTTGATCACTTCTCAAACACTAAGTGTAATGTGAGAAAAGCCATATTGATAGGGTTATGTTGCAGCACTTTCAAAATCATCTGAAGCACGGCTTAACACAGAAAAATTCTCTTCCTTTAAAACATACTGAATGAGCTTCTTCATAATATTTTATATTAGCCCAACCTATTAAGTGATCTTCTGCTCCCCTTCATCCCACCTGGAGCTAGATCCCAATTTCCACATGTCTGCAAAGTGAAGGAACAGGAAGGGGGTCCAGACCTAACTCTTAGTACCAGTTCCGCCGCTAACTTGCTGGCTAGACCCAAAGCAAGCCACTTACCTTTCCTGCGCCTCCATTACCTTGCTTGTAGCAAGACGCGTCCAGGCCAGATGATGTCTAATATCCCTCCCTAACAACATGTGAATCTGCAGTGGAACTGAAATTTGTGCCACATCATTCACTGGGCATTCGCATAATATTTAAAAAAAAAAAAAAAAAAAGAAAAGAAAAGAAAAACGACAAATCCCAGGGACTCTCAAAACTGATTCTGGGTAACTTTGGAGAACAGGACTCTGAATCCCATAAACTTTAAAACACCAACGTATGCAAAACAGCTTCCACCCGAGTAAAGGTGAAACTCGACACCTCTGCAGCTCTAGAAAAACTACTCCCACTTGAGTATCTGTTTTCGTGTTTTTTCATTAAACCTGGGTCGCTGTAAATTACACAGAAACCAAAGTGCACTCAATTCCCGGCCTGACACTCTCCAGGGACCTCGCCAGACTATCCCGGACTTTTCAGATTTCAGGGAATAAGCGGAGAATGGGAAAAGCTGTGGAGTTACTCCTAAGTGCCTGAACACGTCAGGAGAAGAAGGTGAAGAGAGAGTAGCGGGCGAGGTGGCCACGCGGCCTCGCTGTCCCCTTCTCCATCCTCGCCCGGGAGGCCGAGGGCTCCGGCCCATCCCACTCCACCCCCGGGCCGCTCCGGGCCCGCAGCCACGGAAGTCACCTGTGAAGGAGTCGGGGTAAATGGACTCCAGAGCCTCCAGCTCGTTGCGCTGCTCCTCGCCGTAATCTGTCATCGTGGCCCTCGCTGCTGCCCATGGACCGTCCAGCCACCCAGGCTGCGCGCTGCAGCTGGGACCGCGGCCGCGCCGGGAGAGCGGGCAGCAGCCGGACGGGCGCAGGCGCAGAGTCCCCGGCTGGGAAGCTCGGGGCCCAAAGCCAGGCCCGGCCTGCTGAGCAACAGCCCCACACGGGCCTACGCCTGCTCTTTAGTTCCGCGTTCGACTCGTTAGGCCTGGCCAGTGGAGCGCTGAGTAGCTGCCGGTCCCACCGCCGCTTGGGATTTGCTGAGATGGAAAAGGGCACCGGGTCTGGCATTCGCTACGGACACCTGGGGCCGGTTCCTGGGCTTTTCAGGGCCTGAGCCTGAGAAGCCACTCAGCGCGACATCCTCGCTCGATGGGTCTAGCCTGAAAGCTGGCCATGCGTACCGAGGCGGGACGTTGTCGCTGCAGGCGGGACGAAGTGGCTGCGGGCGGGACGCGGGGCGCGTCCGCGAACTTCGTCGCTTCCGGCTTCCGGTTTGCGACCCTGTGGCCTCGGCGGGGCTCACCGACGCGCTGCTTCTGTCGGCTAATGGTGGGGTTCAGGTGATTTCTACGCTTGTCGAGTCTCCTAGTTCCTTGGCATCCCGGGGGAGTTGGGCGAGAGGCCGACCAGGGTAGACTCTAGTGAGCAGAGAAGCAGAAGCTCTGCTGGTGCGACGGGCGGGTCGGCCTAGTTGCTAAATAGCCAGTTGCAGGGAATCGGGGAAGAAATTGACTGGAAGTCCAGAGATCTGGGTTCTAGATCCCTGGGCTTCCTTATTGATTTTGTAAAGTGAACGCGGCCGGGCATAGTTCTAAGTGTGTGATTTATTTCTGTGAGTTGATAAAGGGGGATGTAGATTTCATTTAACAGTTTTGGTAAGCAATGTAAAAATAAGTATCTGTACTCCGGAAAATGTTCAGAATTTTTGATTTGGGAGAATAAAATTGAGGGGGTAATACTTAAAATATACGCATCTGTTGTCTCCAGGTTCATCGCAGCAGTTAAAATTTTCAGAGACCCATAATGGCACAAGCTAAGAAAATGGCTAAATGAGCATGGTACTTTTAAGAGAAGACTATTAACGGGCTATTTATATTTTATGTTTATAGTAAAGGAACATGGATATGATAAGTCAAAAAGGAACATGGGGAAATAGAAAATACTCCCAACATATTAAAAGATACTTCACGTTCTTTTGTATTTTCCTTCGTTTTCTCTGTTAAAGCTGATTTCACTTGTGTAGTGGAGGTAACACTTTTTAAATAAGTTCCCCAATGATAAAGGCTCTGAAGTTTTCTCTTTTTTAAAATTTTTTTAAAGGCAATTCAATGGAGGAATGATATTTTTTTTTTTTAAGATTTTACTTACTTATTTGACAGAGACAGTGAGAGCAGGAACACGAATGGGGAGTGGGAGAGGGAGAAGCAGGCTTCCCGCAGAGCAGGTAGCCCAATGCAGGGCTCGATGTGGGGCTCCATCCCAGGACTCTGGGATCATGACCTGAGCCACCCAGATGCCCCTGAAGTTTTCTCTTGTTAAAATGATGATGTACTATGGACCAGAAAGCATCTTGATCTTCTGTTGGGAAGTACTACTTATTAGCAGAGGAATAGTTAAAACAAACACATTCAGGTACACTTTGGTACTGATTCTGGGTCTTAAAGGTTGATTTGGGTCATTCTTTTAAACTTTGAGGGAAAAATTGGGAACTCTACTGACAGTGGTGAGAATCAAATAAAATACGTGAAGTAACTTTGCAAATATAAGGTGCTTATTTTTCTGGATATCCTGAGTTCACAGAAAGCAATGATTTGTTGGGACGAGCTGGACAGAAGAGTCAGTGCGAAGGTCCTAAGGTGAGAGTCCACTTGGTATTTTGGAAGCCAGTGTGGCTAATGCACAGTGAACTGGGGGATGAGAAGGAATTTGCAGATCCTGTAGGATCAGGATTTGATGTGGGTTGTAAGAAAGAGAAGTCAAAAATGGTTTTTGGCTAGAACAATAGGAAAGATGAAGTTCTAGTAACCAAATGACAGGTAATGAAGACGGAAGGAGTTTGACGGAAGAAGTTGATAACACCTTTAAATAATGGATCAAAGAAGAAGGTAAAATTTTTAAACTTTTCCTAATTGATAATAAAAACAACCTATCAGAATAGATGAGATACAGCAAGACAACAAATTTAAGGTTTATATTTAGAAAAAGATTAATGTTGGTTGCAAGTTTTAATTTAATAAATGAAGTGCTCCTTTATTTGTTTTACTATTAACAGAATTTTTGGTAAAATAACCTTTTCAGGCCTGTTACATATATTCACTATAAAGCCTTCGTATTTCAGAATGCTCATGTGGTGGTTTTGTTCTGTTACTTAATACTGCAGATACCTCCCTAAGAGAGTTCCAGTGCTAATGTAATCAAGAGAACACCCCCAAATCTTCGTCACATCTACATGGACATCATTAAGAATTTTTTGGTTGATCTCTAATTTGATTTTGACAATGACAAAGACACTTCACAGACACAGGAAGGCCCTTTACTCCCTTTCTGAATTGTTATGAGGCAAATTGGCTTTATTTTAGTGTTTTGTTTTTAATTTATAAAGATGTTAGAGGACAGGAGTGTTTCAAGCTCTGCAGGTAGGCAAATGGTGTAGGAAGAACATCACAGGATCTGAGGCCAGATGTGAGAAGGCCAGCTTTAGCTATTTATAAGCTAAATAAGCTTATAAGATCATCCAGAGAACATGAAATGATGTATATAAAAGCACATTGCAAATTCAAAAGTAGGATATTAGTGTTACTCATAATTTTGAATGTATATAATATCTTCTGAAGCACTTCTGCTCTCTGTTACTGTTCTCCATTCATCTTCATTACTAAAGAATAATGTCCCTTAAGATAGTTGTCTTACTCATTTGTTTTCGTCTAAGTTTCTTTGCAAGTAATGCAAACTCCCAGTTGCTATTTCCTAATATCAGTTTTTAAAAACTGTTTTGGTGTTTATTTTTACTTGTCTGTGCCTATGAATTTTCTAAGCAATCTCACTACTCTCAGATGCACAGAATTTCAGATTCCCTATTTAAAGGTTAATCTTAATTCTCTTAGTTCATGTGCCTAATGTTTCATTTACTCAGGTGTCCCAAAACTCATCGCTAGTCACAAATACAAATAGCCATATGAAATTCTAATTTTGTATACTCTGAAGAGTTCCCTTGAAGGGTAGTGATCTCAGTATCACTTCTAGCCTAACTGACCTCCCTGCTTCCGCCCTCATTTACAATCTGCTCTGACTCAACATAGCAGTCAGAGTGATCCTGCTACAGTAGAAATCATTTTTTGGCTTCTTGTGAGAAAATATAGTGAAGGGTTGAGTCAGGGATGGCCTTAATGGTGTGTAGCTTCCTAGGCAAACATGTTTTGTGGGGTGCCTGTCTATATAAGCAATTTTATTAAAAGATGTATTTTAAAAATTCATGGGCCAAGTAAGATATGGTGATTTACTGATGAAGATTTAAAATAGAGACACGTATGCATTTGTTTATTGTTTAATCAGTGAGCATGAAGATTCTCTGTAGTGTGCATGCACCATCTCTTCATGTTCTTTATCATTAAAAATGCCCTGTTCCTGTCTAGCTGCCTGTCTCCCACCATGAAAAAAAAAAAAAGCAGTGCTGTTGCTACTCAGAATGCCATGACTCTTTGTAACTTCTACTGAAATACAGTTCTTGCTTCTGCAGTATCCTAATGCCATTAAGGTAATGTTAGTCATATCATTCTCATTAAGTTCCATCATCCGTCATGTTGCTCCTGAATCCTGGCTTCCAGTGATTTTCTCAAAGAATGTGCTCTCTTGTTGATGTCCACAAATGCAAGTCTTAACCAAAGTATGCCGGAAAATGTGAGTGATCATTTGTTTTCTAGTCACGCTAAACTTACTACATATCTTCCAACCATGTCTTGATTTCTTCAGGCCAGGATCACCGCATCCCTAAAATGGGATCTCTTTCAGTGTTAGCGGCACCCTACCTTCCAGGTGGGTGAATCCAGTTCAGCAGTTGCATTCGCCAGCGAGGAATGTGCTTGACTAGTCCGGGAGAGCGCGAAGTCACCACATGATCAGGGGCTGGGGAGGACAGCGATCTGAAGGGCCAGTTGTAAGTCACAGAGGACTTGACGCGCCACCCCAGTGGTCTGCCTGATCGGAGGTAGTGCGCTGGTACCCACCCTGGGTGCCAGAGGTGCAGCACATTGAGTAAGGGACCCGCCACCACCCCACGTTGGGTGCTGTAGACATAGTGGGGGAATACCCCAGGCTCGCCACGCTCCAGGAAGGAAAGACCTGGGTCCATGCGGTGAGGTCCGGCTCCGAGAGCCCCACGTGAGTGGGTTCCAGAAAATCTCCAAGAAGGAGCTCAAAGTGCCCGGCACCCTGATGGCAAGTAGTAGTGAATTGCATACCGAATTTTACTATTCTCGCTCCACCACTTGGATGGTTTTGTCTTTTGCTTTATCATCCCCACAAAATACAGACCTTCCTCTGGTCTGATAGGACCTCTTAGGATCTATAAAATCATTATTGGAGTAAAGATGCTTATTTTGTAGGCAGCTTTCTCAAAGTCAAGCTACCTCAACGTGAAAGAATGGTAAGCATAAACTAATAAGCTGATTTTTCTTGATCTATAAGATTGATGTAATCAAAAAGCACCACGTAGGTCCAGATTAGCTTTATTTTTTCCCTTTTAGCATTTGTTTTCTCATATTTCAGATGCTGGCTATGTCCACGTTGTGAAACAATTTACAGTATATAGTTCTGTTGATGTCACTCAGTAGCAACTAGAGAAGAAAAATATGTTGAAATGTTTTTTATTTGTAGTTTGGACTGAAACGTCTATCGATACCTAAAAAATATATATCCAGCTGTTCTTTCTGCACTTTAGAATACCTTCAATTAGAATGCATTATATTATATATATTTATAAAATATTCTATTATAGATTATTTACCAGGAGCAAGTTTTGCCTAGGGCAGAGCATCAGTGCATATAGAATCATAGGATGCTAGTGCTAGAAATTACCTTGAAGAGACCCTAACCCGGGACATGTAATTCATGACCAGCTTGTGGGTTCATAAATTTCCTGAAATGTGTTGGTATGTGTATTAGTTTCATACTGCCCCTGAAACAAATTACCAGAAGCTTAGTGACTTTACACAGTGCAAATTTATTATGGTTCGGTAACTATAAGAACAGTATATATTTCTGACTGTTCTGACACCAGTTACACAGGTCTCACTAGGCTAAAGTCAAGGTATTATCAGGGCTGTGTTCCTTCCAGAGGCTCTAGGGGAAAAATCCATTTACTTGTGTTTTGCACCCTCTAGAGGCTGTCTGCCTTCCCTTGGCTTATGACAAAGCCAGCAATGGCTAATTTCTCAGGTGTCACTGATGCTCCTTGACACTCCTTTTGGGTTCCCACTTTGCCTTCTCTCTGACTGTGATTCCTCCTTTGCCCCTCTTATAAGGAAACTTATGATTGCATTGCCCCCCCCAGGATAATCTGAGATAATATCCCCATTTCAAAGTCCTTACTCTGATCACATCTGCAGTGTCTCTTTTTCTATGTAAAGCATAGAGTAAGGTCCAAAAATTCCAGGATTACAACATCAACATCTTTGGGGAGGCCCCTATTTAGTCTACCACAGTGTATAAACTTTGAGGCATATGAGTGTATCTCCATGTGCATTCTGGTTTTCTAGATAATTCTTCAAAATAGGTCACCCCATAATGGCTTTTCAGAGAGAGCTGACTTGATATAGTTTAATCACTTCCACAATTTGGCACCCTCTCCTATCTCATGAAAGGGAACATTAAAGTCCCAGAGAGACTGACTTATACAAAACCATATGAATGATGAGAGATGTTTCCCTGACCCCCATTTTTGACCCTTTGTAACCATCACCTACCGGAAACGGATCAGCAGATTATAGCGGTGTCCTGCCCATTCCCTACATAGAAAGAATCCCTGAGCCTCCTGGGAAGCTTACAGTGAGTCTGCGGCTAACAGAATCGGTGCCACTGGCTGTAGGGCAGCTCAGATCCAGAGTGATGCCCCAGTGAGAGTGCACATCTCACTTTGTTAAGAAGCACAGTGCCTTGAAGCTGAGCCCTTCTATCTGCAGGGACAGTGGCGGTGGAAAGAGAGGGACTCAGATGTGATAGAGCACCTTATTGTCAGGGCTCAGGGTGTTGTAGTTATTCAGTGTCAGACGTAGGAGTAGAATCCTGACACCTGCAAGGCCCTGGAAGGTTGATAAGCTGTCCGCTATTGCTATAGTCCAGCACAGTGCTAATGAGTGCAGGATCAGAAGTCAGACTACTCGGGCCAGATTCGAGCTCTATCATTACAATCTGTGTCCTTTGGCAAATTGCTGGACTTCTCTGTATCTCAGTTGCCTCATCAGTAAAATGGGGGAACTTATTTTATTGAGGTAAGATAGGTTTGGATTCTAATTATGAATGGTTCCATGGTTCACCAGTTATCTCATAATATGTCAGTGAGAAAGCATTTCGTATGTGTAGAACTTTACATACACAAAATTGCTTCACATTCTCTCTGTTATTTAGACCATTTCAGCAAGTCGTATCAGAATATATGATTCTGTTTACCAGTTTGTTGCAAAGAGTAAATGGGATAAATTTGTTTAAAGTAGCTGGCATGTAGTAAACACCACATATTATTTTTACTGTTAACCACTACTACAGATGGGTGCAGATACTTATTTTGGCCACAGAGAGGCAGCAGAGGAAACAACACTTGAAATCCATTTCTGTCTAAGGTCTGGTGTACTGAGATTGAAGTTTAATTGTACCTGGTGGTTAGTTCAGAAAAATAATTCAGTTTGGGAATGGTATAATTTGCCTCTCTGGAAACACCATTCATTGCTCTTTGGTCCACTAGTCCCATTTATAGATGTGTGCCCCACAGGTAAAGGAGCTATATAGCTGAGGACAGCCTGCTGTTATCTGTTCTTTAGTGACCAGGGCTAAATTTTGGTAGATTTATTTAGAAGCTATAATGCTACACTTAATATTTTGAGGTAGCAAATAACTACCTAGTCTTGCATTTGGAAGGCCTTTGGTTGTGATATTTCAAAGTTTTAAGGTTAATGTGATTTTTGTTTGTGCTAAACAAAATGCAGAAAGCACTTTGGAAATTCACATTGTTGTTTCTTATTACAATCCTGCATTTGAATTTTTTTAATGGAATTGGAGATTGAGAACAGAGAAAGGAGACAAAGAAGATAAATGTAATAATGATTCTGCAATTCAGCTTTTGGAAACATAAAGAAAGCTGAGTAAAACACATTTAAACATTGAGATTGTATTTGTCTTCTAGAAAGGAGGCAGCTAAGATTGTGGTGGAGGGATGGGGGAGCTGACAAAGTCGAAGTTAAGAAAGGAGCAAGTCTGTATATATGCCAAGCCACAGCATTTGCCAAAAATGCTGTAATACCAATGCCAAAAACATTTGGTAACAAAATATAAGGTAGTATTAGCATATAATTTATTTTAATTATGTATCTTAAAATTACATAAATCCATTAGCATAAAGGGGGGGAAGTGCAGTATTCCTAATGGAAAAGTCTTGTCTAACTGGCTGTGGAACAAAAGAATATTCTGGGCAAACACACATACACACAAACACACACATACAGAGACACGCAAATGGGAATTTGATTTATTTAATTGGAAATGGATAGTATACAGTGAAATATCAGGGATGTGAACTACCCTTCAAATGTTCACATAGTTGCTATAAAGCCCTTTGAAGCCATGTAGAGAAGACAAAGAATACTTTAATCCTTTGCTAGAAAGCTCTAGTGGAAGATCATGATTATGTGATTTAGAATATAAACTGTGTATGTCATACTCTGAAGGAGTTTGATGGGGAAAGGGCTTCCAGAATCTAGTAAAAAGAAAGTTTTCTGGTGTTAATGTCTATAAACAACTATTATCTTCTTTCTGATGATGTAATGCTTTAAGTTTATATACTCTTTGATCCTTCTGTTAACTGAAAATCTTATTGGAGAGTATTTACTGTGGTATAATCCCCAAAAACTAATAAAATAATTCTGAGCGTGGTGTAAAGTGTTGATTTAACTATTCTGTCCCAATACAATTTTAGTATATGTGCTGCCGAAGCAAGCACTATTCTGTCCCAATACAGAGGAGTTTCAAAAATTCCCAGATAAACAGAGTGATAGAATTTTAGTGCTGGAGGAGACTGTGGAGAACAAAATGGACATAACCTTCCATATTTACATAGCTCATTTACATCAGAACCAAATGAGGACCCTAGTTACCTTCCACAACTTCTGTTTTTTTAAAGATTGCTCTTGTAATGTGTCAGTCTTGGGTATGGATACAGGTGACAAAATGGAATAGCTTTCCTTGGCCACTTAAAAAAGTTCAGTACATTAACATTCTTTTGAAAGTAGAATGCCAGCAAATGTCTTTAGAAGAAGAATTGAACTCAGTGATCTTTTCCTTCTAATGGAGACAACCTGGGCCTACTACTATTCCAGAAAATTGTATACATATGGACCTGTATACATTTGAACATGAACATCAAAATCTTACCAGATTTAAAGGGAACCTCAAGAATACATTTGCTTCAGTTCCTTGCCCTACAACAGGTAAGGTATCATTATCTACATCTTATAGATGAAACAGTTGAGTCTCAGAGAGACTAACTGACCTACCCACTAAGTAATGGTGAGGGAGAGACAGGTCTCCTGTTGTAGCAAAGTACTACACTATGCATCTCTTACGGATTTTTTTTTTTATGATCTTCAAATTCATTTTCTATTTGTTTCCATTAAGTTTGTGGAACCCATAATTTCACACAGAATAGACTCTTTCTTGCACAGTTGTGTAAAAGTAGATTAGTAAGTAATTGACTGCATTTTAGTTACTCAAATTCTCTGGTCTCCTTGAAAGTGAATCTTGAAGGTCAGCATGACAATTGGCAGTTGGTCCATTACCCAGTAAGCAGCCATGGTTTTGGTTTAAAAAATAAGCAAAATCCCTCATTTTGCTGATTTTGGCCAATGAACCAGTTGCTTAAGTGAATGTGACAACAGGCACAAGACACTACATATATCAGAAATAATCAGGATAAATTAGAGAACTGTCAAATATTAGAGGTGTAAAGTCACAGAGGAGAGTCAGGCAGGTCTCCCCTTTTGGAGTTTTAGGTAATGGGTATACAAATACAGATGTCAGTCTCAGTTCCCCCAATGGATTTTGAGTGCAAGGGTGCAAATTGATCATGAAAAGGCACAGTGTCTCTGTAGTAGAGCACAGAAGGGAAGCTTTCTAGAATAAACTTTATATGTTGTGGCTATAAAAATGCTCCTAGTGTGGAGGGGCTACAAATAACATTTATGATACTAATGATGGTAGAATAATGCATCATCCCCTGGTTATGGCAGAATGACTCAAGACCTTGCATGGGCTTCTCCCTTACATGTTACCAGTTTAGAAAGGGCTTTTTATTCTAGTTCCCAAAAGCTCAGATATTTAGGATCAAAAGAAGAGACGGAAGCAAGTGAAAAGTTCCTGGATATTATAAAGAGGTAGAAATAAGGAAAACCAGGAATTAGAGACGGGGGAATAGTGATGGGAGACATGGAACACAAAGAGAAAGGGAGAAAGTAATGTGCATTGGCACGTATTTTAGGAAAGGCACTGTGCTGAGCACTTGGCTTATATTATCACCTTTAATCTTCACAACAGCTCTATGAAATAACCATTATGTGCAGATAACAAGATGGTGCTCAGAAATACTAGTTTTCACACAGATGACTGAGTAACAGAAGCAAGATTCCCATTCTGATATGACTTCAAAATCCATATTGTTTTAATTAAACCAATATAGGCATTACCTGACCACCAAGGAAATTTCAAAAACAGAGATTGGCGCAATGATCAGATAAACCGCTTTTGGAAATGGCATCTTGAACGGACTTATTTAAACAAATATCAGAAGAGACAGAAAAAGATGAAGAGATTACATTGAAACTCCATCATCACAAAAATAAAGTATCTGTTAAGCAACCTGAACTGTGAGAGGTGCTACAATCAAGGTTTCAATTCAATACCTTCGGATTTGCTTTCCTCATTAGTCTCATCCGCCCTGCCTCTAAGGAAGCTATAGTGACCTTGCAAGTCCTCACCCATGCAGAGAAGACTGGGTGCTGAAATATCTCTCCAGTCCTGACACGAAGGAATATGGATGTGTCTGACATCTTCCTTTCCAGGAATGAAGCCAAAGAGTTTCTTTATGCGCTGCATGATGAGGAGCCGTGAATGCTGCTCGGCAGCTTGTTCAAAGAGCTCCCTCTCGTTGTGGAGGTGGTTGGTCCAGTAGCAGTGCTGCAGAGAGGTGAGGGGAGAGCAGCACCTCGCCACGCAGCGGGAGACCAGGGCAGCGATGGCTGCCAAGGTGATCAAAATCCAGCCCAGCATCTTGACAAAATTATTTAAAAGAAAAGCAGAAAACGTCAATATAGTGAATATCAAAGGAACAGACACAGTAAGAGGGATTCCTATGAAACTGAGAAGTAAACTGTGGGGAAAAAAAAAGTAAACTGGGGGTAAGAAATTTGTTTTTCTGGGGAGACTGGGTGGTTCAGTTGGCTAAGCGTCTGCCTTTGGCTCAGGTCATGATCCCAGGGTCCTGGGATCGAGCCCCCACGCCAGGCTCTCTCCTTAGCAGGGAGCCTACTTCTCTCTCTCCCTCTGCCTGCGGCTTCCCCTGCTTGTCCCCCCTCTCTCTCTATCAAATAAATAAATAAAGTCTTTTAAAAAAAGAAATGTGTTTTTCTAGTCTTGGAAATAATAGCAAGGTGCTGACCACTTGATATGGGTATAGGCATGATGGAGGGAATAAGCCCAAGCATTTCAGTTTGGTTTGGGGGCTACAAAGGGTATTAACCAGTTAACTTGGAGTGGATTCGAAGTCCTGTCCTTGAAGTGGCGGATGCTACAACCCACCGGTTACTCTTGTGTAGGGTACCTAAACTATATTCTTTGGTTTTAGCTCAACTTTCCTCCCCAACCCTTAGGTACAGGTCAAGCATCTTTTGGGTGCTTAATAACTATTTGATAATCATGGTGATGAAAATGATGATATGATAGATAATAATGGTAGCTTCTGAAGTGCCTTCTTAATAATGTGCTAACAGGTATTCATTGGTATTTCTTCCCGAGTTGCTCTTTCCTTTTATTTTTTGTGACCAAAGAAGACCCTTATGTCCCTAAATGGAAAGCACCTTATTATTTTCCTTTTCATTTCCCTCCTCCCTCAAATAGTTATTTGCTACCAATTTTATGATTCATTTTTGAAATATGCTTTGAAAGGGAAATTAGCTATATTTTACTTGCAATTATTTAGTGCCCTCTTTGAAAGACTGACATAAATGGCTGTTTTCTAGTCTTAGAACTCTTCTTCTTTTAATTATTCTTTTTTCAATAGTTAGTGATTATTACGTAAAGTGAGAGAGGCAACTTCCACACATATAAGGAAGCCAGCCATCAGCAGCCACAGTCCGGGAGGTGAAGGTCTCTCCCACAGCTTGTGATTCACCAGCAGGCCTGGAATTACCAGTGTGAGCACAACAGGACAGATGCACTCAATGGAGGCTGAAACCTACAAAGTGACACTGCAATTTAATTTAAGAGAGGCCAGCAAGGTGGAGGAAAGGCCATCTGAGATGCCCATTAATTCATCAGCCATCATTTACTGAGTCCCAGTTTGACCTCCTGCCATGTTCTATACATGGTGGTTGGTTATGGGGACTTAGATGGGAATAATTTAAGATACATTCACTCAACACAGTCTTTAAGCCTAAAGAGGGAAACAAAATAGCAAGCCAAGAAATATGGTAAAATGTGATAGTTTTTTTATATCAATAAGCACAATGGGAGAGAAACGAACTCACTTAAGAAAGAGGCGTATCAGGGAGTACATCCCAGAGGAGATGATCTTCAGTTAAATATTAAAGAGTAGCTTGCCAGATGCAAGAAACTGAGGAGAGTTCTGATAAGAGAAGAAGAAAAATAAGAACATGAAGATTTGGGAGAACCTCAAGAAGCTTGTACTCACAGGGCCATAGGAGTCATGTAGAAAAGTGGTCAGGAGCCGGACACTGAAGAACCTCGTAAGCCGTGAGAAGAATTTGGATTTGGGATTGGGCTGGTAGAAAATTATCAAAGAACTTTATATGGGAATGGCGGGGGGAGGGTGCTCATCATTCAATTTGCATTTAGAAAGATAATTTTGGCATGGCTGTGGAAGGTTGATTGAAATTGGGTAAAACTAATGTCAGGAAGCTATTTTAGAATGAGGTATGGGCGGAGACAGGGTTTGAACTTAATATGATCTTGTGGACAACTCAGAAAGATCAAACAGAAAGACAGTGTATATTCCTCAAATGAGATTGAAGTTCAAGGTGGTTGTGAAAGGCAGCCTGGTGAAATGGAAAGAGTATGACTTTTGAATATCTCAATCGGCCATTTATTACCTCTGTGAACTTATAAGAGTTACATAAACTCTTTGAGCTTTGCTCTCCTCATCTGTAAAATGGGGTTGATTATACCTCTCAAAGAGCGAGGATTAGAATTAAATGTGAAATATTTATACAGTAAGTGATAAACATTTTTTTTAAGATTTTATTTATTTATTTGACAGAGAGAGACACAGTGAGAGAGGGAACACTAGCAGGGGGAGTGGGAGAGAGAGAAGCAGGCTTCCCACTGAGCAGGGAGCCCGATGTGGTGCTCAATCCCAGGACCCTGGGATCATGACCTGAGCCGAAGGCAGACGCTTAACGACAGAGCCACCCAGGCGCCCCTGATAAACATTTTAATAAATATTAGTTTTGTGGTCGCTGATCCAAAAACGTCCACTGGCTGATGGCACTCTGAACCATAAAACTGTCTTTTCACAGAAGTCTGTGTACGCATTAAATAAGACATTTTATTTTCACTTTAAGAAAATCTTACCAGTGTGTGTATCATCTTAGGTTTTTTTTGAGCAAGAGCATTTTGAAAGTTAAAATTGCCCCATTGATTATTTTTCACCTATCTTCACATAACTCCTGCCTGAGCTTTAGGGCTAGTGTAAAAGGTTGAGATGGAGCCTACCTTAATGGGATTTCTAACTTTGCTTAAATCGGGCCATATGCAACACTTGAGTATACTGTGTGTTGATAGTAATTTTTTTCAACAAAAGAGCACTAGCACTTCTAAATTTAGTAGCTAAAAAGTGATGGGTCAAAAAAATGTGCATGCCTTTGCGATAAACAGTTTTTAAAATAATGTATTTTATTGTATTGCAGTGGTTTGCAACTGTGCTTTTTACCCCACATCCCTCGGAGAAAGTGATGAATGTCAATGACTCTTTCTGTATTGACAAAATGCACTTTTACACTTCTTAAATTTAACCTGTAAGTGCAGTAGATACAGGCCTTTTCCCTACCTCATCTCATCCCCTTACATAAACTTGTCTAAGGATATTAAATTTAGAGCCATCCCTGGAAATTAATCATAATTAAGCTTCCTCTAATTTTAGATAAAATTTTAATACAAAAGAATGAATATTTCAGAATATGCAAGATGGAATGAAGTAATACACTGTGGCAATAATAATTTTTATAACAATATCTCAAATTTATTGTTTTTAATATGGATTGTGGACACGATGCTGAGCTCTTTAGATGTATTAGCTCATTTATTACTCACCCCAACCTTATGTGGTAGATCCTATTAATATCTCCGTTTTACGATGGAGAAAAGTGAAGCATGGATAAGTTCTATACCTTGCTCAAGGTTTTGCAGGTTAATAAATGGCAAAGCAAGATTCAAACACAGGTCTGCTGACTCCGAAGCCCAACATCCTAACCATATCTATATAGCCGCTCAGTGGAAATCACTCTGATGAATGACATCAAGTTTGTGTTCTATATTCAGATAATATGAGAAGCAGTAGGAATGTGAAATGTTTCCAATGGCTGCCATTAAGATGGGATAGCATAGCAAGAAAAAAAAATCAGGAACTTACTTGTGACTGGTATCTGTGCAGAAGACCTACTTCATCTCTTACCAGGATCACGTCGGATGGAACCGATTTGCCACATGGAAACCCAGCTAGGACCTCTTTCCATTTGCTGGTGCTGATGTTGTCAAACACTGGGTAATGGTCCACAGATGCGAATTCACTTGCCGCACATTCATAGTAGGTGCCTGTCAGCAGGGTTACGGCCAGCCATGTTAATGGGGCAACGAGTGCCCTCCCGGTGATGCTGTAGAACCGAAGACAAGCGAGCTTGCGCTCCAGGGGGCTGATTCTCCGCTGTGGAGGGCCACAGCGGCAGCAGTATTCACTGGTCATGGTCCACATCTGGCTTCTCAGAGCATAGCCGGCAACCAGAAGGATCAAGGCTGGAATGACTAGAAAAGCAGAACCGTAGTAGAAATTTTTTCCAGCCTGACAGGGACATCTGAATGTGAAAGAAGAGCAAAGCTGTTGCCCACCAATGGTCGAAGCAGCAATTAAAGAATTGATAAATGTTCCACTTCTCTGCAGGGAAGATATGATATTGTTGAGAGTCGGGCTCATCGTTGGGAAGCTCGGACACAAATGGCCCTTTCTGATCATTAGACTCCACCAGCTGTAACCATTTTATGGGACCTTACTGGTTTAACTGGCTGGGTCAAGCAACCCAACATCCTCATATGTTTAAAGGATTCTAGCATCTTTCCTTGTGTACTTTGTGAATCCTGAGCTAATAAATGCACTTCAGATTCCAGCTGGAAGAAGCTAGAGGAGAGATTCATCTGGTACAGGTGACAGGAGAAATAGCTGCCGCGCATCTTCCCACTGAAAAGAGAATGGCCTGCTTGCAAAGCAAAACTGCTGTCATCTTTCCATATGCTGCTTTGTGTGACATGACACCAACAAATAGAGCACTGGGAGCAAAATGGAGAACATTCTTAACCCTGTGCTAGACCAGGATTTAGGTACCATAAAATTATGACATAAGGCATAACAGAAATTATGAAATAATAGAGCAATCCAAACTTTAGGGCTGTCTGGAACATCCATAACCTAAGAGTTCTGCCAGAAGATCCCAAAAGCTTTCCCCAAAAGAAGAACAAGACTTGGGTACCCCCTAAAGCCAAATCACAACAAAAACATTCCAACTTTGCATAAAAATGCCCTTGTATTGACAGAATGTGATAAAATAACGTGTTGCTTTATAAGTTAAGTTACGAATTTGTTTATATGCTATCTTTTTGTTACATGAAAATGTGATCCTTAGGTATTGGTAAAATTATATATCTATAAAAAGAAAATGATCAAATATGTAAGGTGTTTTCTATAATCAGAAAATATTTATTATATGACTTCTATATAAAAGGCACTGGAGGCTTGGTTGGGTTAATAAAAAGTGAATAAGATATAAATTTCTCTTCTCAAACTCTCAGCTGGGTGTCGTTAAATACATAATTAGTAAATTGAAACATAATGCTGAGGAATTCACCCAAAATACAGTATAAAGTATTACAGTATAAAATATTTTAAAAACCAATTCAAGGAAATAGAAGACAGATTAAGCAACTCCATAATAGGAGTTCCAGAGGGGGGAAAAAAAAGAAGGGATAGGCAGAGAAACAATATTTGAAGAGAAGTAACTGAGAATTTGGCAGAATCAAAGAAAATTCTCACATCAGAAGAGTGTTAGATGTTCTGAGCAGTGTAAATAAAGATAAATCCACATATAAACACACCATAGTAAAACTGCAGAGTGTGAAACATGAAGAAGAAATGTTATTAAAAGCTACCAGAAAGAAGAGACACATAAGCCACAAAAGAATGACCTTAGACTGAGGAGAGAATTTTCATTAGCAACACTAGAGACCAGAGGCAATATCTTCAGAGCGCTTAGTACCAGATACAATATCACTCAAGGCAGAACAAAGCAAAGATACCTATGTTAATTTTAAAAAGAGATACATAAAGGCTAGGGGAATTTACCACTCACAGGGTCTCATAAAGAGCATTATTAAAGGATATATTTCAATAAGGAGAAAAATGAACTCTAAGGAAAGACATAAGACAAAAAATAATGATACAAATATGATATTTTTAAGTTATTTATTAGCTGTAGAATTACTTTTTTACTTTAAGGGATAGAACTAAGGTAATACATGGTTATAATAAGCTATCACTGTGCAAATGGCTAAAATTAAGAAGACTGACCATACCAAATATTGGTGAAGCTTGCAGAGTAACTGGAACTCTCCCTCTCTCTCTCTCTCTCTCTCTTTTTTTTAAGATTTATTTATTTTAGGGCACCTGGGTGGCTCAGTCGGTTAAGTGTCTGCCCTCGGTTCAGGTCATGATCTCAGAGTCCTGGGATGGAGCCTGCTTCTCCCTCTCCGTCCGCCCACCTGCCTGCTTGTGTTCTCTCTGTTGCTCCGTCTCTCCCAAATAAATAAATAAAATCTTTTTTAAAAGATTTTATTTATTTTAGAGAGAGAGAGTGTGTCAGGGAGGGGTGGAGGAAGGAGAGAGAAAATCTCAAGCAGACTCCATGCTGAGCATGGAGCCCAACTTGGGGCTTGATCTCAACACCCTGAGATCATGACCTGCGCCAAAATCAAGAGTCAGATGCTTAACCAGCTGAGCCACCTAGGCGCTACCAGAGTAACTGGAACTCTTATACACTGATGGTGAGAATATAAAATGGAATAACCACTTTGGAAAATTGTCAGTTTCTTTAAAAGTTAACTATGTACCCATTATATAATACAGTCATTTACCTCCTAGTTACTCGCTCAAGAGAAATGAAAGCATAAGTCCACATGAAAACTTGTACTTGAATATCCACAGTAGTTTTTTTTTTTCACAGTAGTTTTGTAATACCTGCAAACCAGAAACAACACAAACGTCCATCAACAGGTGAGTAGATCAACAAATCGTTGTATATCCATATGATGAATACTACTCAGCAAGATAAAAGGAATAAACTATTGATATATACCATAAGAAGAATGAATTCAAAAGAATATACTGAATTAAAGAATTTAAGCAAAGGAGCACATGATGTATGACTCCATCTAAAATTCTAAAAGATGCAAATTAATTGATACTGACAGAAAATAAACCAGTGCTTGCCTAAGGAGTGGAGGAGGAGAAATAAGAAGAGAGTGATCACCAAGGGGCATGAGAAGACTTTCAAGGGTTGCTGTATCATTTTGTACCGATAGGATTTTAATTTATGGAGGTGACTGAGTGATGACACGGAGATGTCAAAGCCGTTGAGAGGAGATTTCTTACTTTAATTTACCAAGAGAAGAGGGCATGCCAGACCATGCGGGGAAGCACCAGGTTTGGTCAGGAGGCAGAAAGGAAGACAGGAGACCCTATGCCAGAGCTTTTATTGGGATTTTCATGGTAAAGGCAAAGTAAGGCAGGGGAAACAGCTTAGGATTGGCTAGTTTAAATAATTCTGGTGGGCTTTGGGACATAAGGGTTGTCACTGCTGGTCTAGTACCTACATGGTCCTGGGTTGATCTAGAGCAGGGGAAACATTGGCTTGATGTATGAGAGACAGATAAGAAGGTGGTTCCGGGTATGGGCTCTGGATCGCATGGGAGATACAAACTGCTTTGGCTGTTATTGTGGTCCTGCAATTAATGGATGCCAACTCGACAAAGAATCTAAGATAACACAGTTAAAACAGTGGTAATGGAAATGTTAGTTATATTGATTAATTTGATGGCTTCGGAGATGTATACACAAGCCCAAACTCATCAAATTGTAAATCAATTCATATTTCATTAAAGCAGTAAAATTTTAAGTATGATTATTAAATAATTGAAATTTGGTGTATAGATCATTCAAAAGCAGGAAAGAAAAAGGGAATATTAACCGGAAAAGAAATTGTAAGCAAAGGGGAAATGATGGTAAAAAGAAAACACAAAATAATGGTAAAAATGAGACCAAACACACCAATAGTCACACACACACACACACAATTTTAAATACCTAACAATTACCGTGTGCTTACGACATGCCAGGCACTGTTCTAAGAACTATAATGAGGTACTAATATTATCCTCAACTTGTTTACAGATGAGAAAACTGAGGCGTGAAGAGAGTGAGGAAATTGCATAGGGTCATGCAGAGATGATGGAAGAATCAGGATTAGGGACCCGGTGGTCTGGTACACACATTTCACCACCGTACCAAAGCAGCAGTAAACTTACCTCCAGAGTGATTAAAAAGCAGAGTCATATTGCTTACAAGGGACACCTAAAACTAGACCACATACAAAGCTTGAAAAATAAAGGTATTGGAACATATTTAACTGGGAATAATAATATTAACATAAGGCAAAACTGAAATAAAGGCAAAAAGTGTCGAAAGGGCTAATTTGGAACGCTCCGTCATAATAAAAGGAACAATCCATTATGAAGATACGACAGTTGTCAACTTGTGTTGACATGTCTGTCAACAGACATGTTGTGTCCGTGACTGCATAACTTTAAAATACATAAAGCAAAAGCTGATCAAGGTGTAAGAAGACTTCTTATAATCAGAGATTTTAACCATATCTTTATCAGAAATGATTAAGTTAACATTAAGATCTAAAGGATGTGAACAACAAGCAAGCTTTATCTAAGGTGTATGTAGTATTCCATCACAGTATTTCCATTCCATTTCATTAGTAACGTCCAATAACAAAGAAACAGATTAATAAACCACAGAAATAGAATGCTATAGACTAGGGGTGGACCATATAGGGCTCATAGACTAAACTGGCTCACTGCCTGTTTTCTATGGCTTGTGAGCTAAGAATGGTTTTTACATCTTAACACGGTTGGGGAAAAAAATTGTTCAGTATCTTATAACACGTGAAATTACATGAAACTCAAATCTCCATGTTTACAAATAAAGTTTTATTGGCACATAGGCACACCTCTTCCTGAATTGTCTATGGCTGCTTTCCCACCGCAATAGCAGAGTTGAGGGGTTGTGACAGAGTCCATATGTCTATAAAACTTAAAATATCTACTCTCTGGCCCTTTACAGAAGAAGTCTGCTGACCTCAGCTATAGAGGCTGTGAAAATAAACTAGCTAGAGCGACAGCTGTAGATATGGATAAATCTTAACCAATAACTGGGAAGGAAAAACGCAAGCTGTAGCATATGCACAGTATGACAAATTAGGTAAAGTTTTGAAACAAAATGATATTACATATTCTTTGTGGTTACCAACATATGTAGAATTTAAAAACATGAATAGGAATGATAAATATCCAGTTCTGCGTAGCGGTAATAGGAACTCTACTCTGTAGAGTAGAATTCAGGAGGGTGCTGGCTATTTCAACTCTGTTAGTACTGTGTCATTGCTTACAACAGAGCCTGAAGTATATCTAGCAGCTCGTTCAGTAGAGCTTGGTAGTAAGAACCACATCTTCCTTATGTTTGTAATTTCCTATTTTAAAAGTCCATTTCATGGAACATACGGGAAGTGAGGAAGCAGAGAAGGAAAATGTAGACCACTCTTTCAGGGAACAATGCAGGAAAGGATGGAGCATTCAGTGACGAGAAATCACTGTTGAGGCATCAATGTCCTGCCATAAAGGAGTTTGTTGATGACAAATTCTTAAGTTTTTATTGTTGTTCACAGTCAAAAGTACTAATGACTTCCTCGGGGGTACCTGTGTGTAACTTGTCTGTGATTGTGAAGGATTACAACTATGACTGATCAATTTCCTTTGGGCCTTTGTAACCAAATGGTCTTTATGCTAAAGAGAGCTTGCTGTCAGCTGTCTCTCCAACATATAAAATGTCTATTCATCAGTGAAGACCCAGCCGCTCATTCACTGAGCACGTGCTGACACACCGACAGGGAGATCAGATCTGACAGCTAGAGCAGTTCTTGCGGGGGGGGGGGGGCGGTGCTGAGTATATCATCACTCATTTTACATAAAGAAGTTTGGTTAAAATAAACACGAAAAGCAGCCTTAAATAGCAAAAGAAGTTGCAAAAAGATAAGAAGCTCCCGATGCAGATGTGATGGCCATGCCTGATAGTTCGTGGGGGATCTCAGATGATGATAACACGCTGACGGATCGGTGCTGCCCTCTGTTAGCACCTCCCCGGTCTCTACCCAGCTGCCCAGGTACCTCCCAGGAGACCACTCTCAGGGAGTGACCCAGTTCATCATTTCCTTGCACTGGTTGCTTTGCAGTGCACTATGATGACACTGAGGATCGCATCATTCTCCCAACCCCGGCTCCAAAATCTGGCCTAGGCTACCAAAAGAACCCTTAATAAAAGAGCAAAAACTTCTCTGCATTATTTTGCAATGATTCCTCTTCCTAGTTTGCTGCCAGAACAGATATTCTCTATCAGCTCCCTGTTTGAAACATACCCTCCCTCTGTACTTCTATTTAGGTGAAGAAAGTGGAGAAAAGAAAGAGCCTGGGGCACAGCAGGTTTCCTTGGATCCCAAGAGCTGCTGAAGGCTGGTGGGTTTCACAGTCTGAACATCGGCAAGCCCGTGTCCCAGCGCCCTGGCAGCGGCTGTGTTCATGCAGGTTGTGCTCCTGAGAGGGGACACCAGGCAGGGATTCCTTCCTTAAGCCCCGTGCTCCTGGACGAAGGGGCAGGAGAGAGGGGGAGGCTGTCAGCCCAGCAGAGGAGCTGGCTCCTAAGGCACCTGTGATGTCCTGAATCCTTATGGCGGCCCTGATGTCTCCATAGCACAGCCATTGCGGTTTAGTGAAATTGATTCCAGTATCACCACCCCCCATCCGCCAAGCACACAGGCCTTTTCTCTGTTTTTCTCAGAACCCAGCATCACCCCCACACTAGGCTCAGCAACGGGCTCTCACCATACCTTAGTAGCTATGGGGAGTCTACCTCTGAAATATTTTGCTCTAACACGGATTGTGTACAATAGAAAAAAATGTTTGATTTGGAGTCAGCAACTTGAGCCAAAATCCCTCTTTGTTGCCGACTATCCAGCAACTTTGAACAAATTTCTTAACGTGACTTTTAGATTCTCATCCTAGAAAATGGTAATGATTACAGTACTATTTCACAGATGGTAGTTGAATTAAAAACGAGATAAAGTGAAAACCATGCTGTAAATTGTAAACTTTGCAGAAATATAAGGTGTTGTTAATCCACCAGTGAAAAGCAGCTCCCCACACACATCACCCCCCAGCCAAACTGACTTTTCCTGGGAATAGAGTCATGGAACACAGGCATTAATAGGAATACCCTAATATTGTAGAGCCCCATTCGATATACTCATCTATGAGAAAAATCTACAGTAATTAGTGTTTCTATAGTGCATTATAACGTGTTTTATAGCACACATTATTTCTTTGATACTCACAATTGTTCTGTGAGGTGGGTATTATTATTGCTAGTTTGCAAATGTGGAAACTGAGCCATAGAGCAATAAAATGGCTTGTCCAAAGTCACACAGCCAGTAAATGGTAGAACTGCAGCTCAGCCCGAGACTTCCAAATTCTCCTAGGCTCTTTCAACTACACCACACTCTTTCAAAGTAGTGAGTAGTCTGTCACTTTATAGCAAGAATTTTCTAGAACACACAGAGCTAATTGACTCAGATGGTAAGAAGTAGGAAATGACTTTCTTAAATTGAGTCTTAGGCTTCTATTTCTGGAAGAGTTTTGATCCTCCACACCCTGCAAGTTGTCAAGATGGGGGAGTTTCTCGTGTTAACTTTAAAGGTCTGTACTTCTACATAAATAAAGAGAGGTTTCAATAGCTAACATCTTAGGGACTATCAAAAGAAAGCTAAGGGCTTGCTTTCTCTGCCAGAATCATTATACATTATTAAACTGTAGAACACCCATTTTGAGCAACAGTTTTATGGAAAAAATACCAACACCCCAAATCCATCATTCCTTAAAACTGCTGCTTATGAAAACAAAAGTATCAGATATATTTGAATTCTGTAATCATGCAAGATGGGGGTCTGTGATACCCATTAGAGTTGTTGATTAGGTTTGAACCCAAGATGTAGTACCTACAGATTGCTGATCCTGTCTCAAATTCACACAACAATCAATACAAAGACCGAATAATGCTAACATTTAGATCTATCTTGGATTGTGAAGGTTTCTGTTTGTGATTTTTAGAACAATGCCTTGGCATGAGAGCAAAACACCACTCTAATACTCCCTTGGGCTGAAGAATTTTCAGTAGCTGGTGCTTCTGATCGGACTTCCCACTATCAGCTTTTATGCCTCTAGGTTACAACTTGTACTCAAAAGTGAAGCAGTATTTGATCGGTGGCAAGGTATGTGCTCGTAAGCCCGTCCTGCTCATGATTGTTTTCCTCTTCAGCTCAGCAAAGAACAGCAAGAGTGCAGAAGTGGCACTCTTGTCTCCAAGGAAGAAGGAACGTGCAAAAACAGGACGACAGAGATGGATACACCTCTAAAATAAAAGCCGATGAAAAGAAATCGAAGATCTCATTCTTCATCTCTCAAGCACCATGTCTCGCCCTGCACACAGAAGACCAGAATACCATAAAATCGTAAGATCTTTTTATAAACATATTCTCAAAGAGGTCTTTCTTCTACTTCAAAGAAAATGTTTTCTTGAGTGATTTCTGGTTTATTTCAAAAGGTGACACTATCCGTAGACTTTTTTTCCAGTGGAGCAAGGAAGTGTTTAGTGGAGTGGATCATAAATCACACCTCTGGGAATAGTACAATGATCTCTAACACACTGTAACAGAATAATTGAGTCTTTATACAGATTTTAGGGTTTTCTTTTGTGACTAAGTAGATCTATAACGTGTCAAATTTATCTCTTGTGCCTGACAGAAAATATGGAAAGATAAAGCAATTCTTTGTATTTCATACTTCATGAACTAGGAAATGAAATGTATATAAAATATATATAAAATAGTGATTATGTGTTAAATTAATGGGAACAGATCAACAAAAAACTCAGCATTAAAAGATTGCCTTTAGAGATGTATTTCCTTGTCTTAAATGTAAGTATTTATTATTATAATTTGGTATGTGCTATTATCCTTTCTATATATTCCAAGCTCAGAGTTATTTTTAAAACTTAATTACTTGTATATTAGCTTTGGATAAAGCTTCTTCTTTAATCCTCTCATTAGAAGTTACAGATGTGAAAATTTATTGTTATGTTTAAAGCTCTTTTAATTATTTCAGGAAACTGATGAGCACTGAAGAAAATTAAGTAATTTCAGTTATGGGAACTTGGAATTGTATGATTAACTGTCACACCCCAGTTGGGAATGCCTCCAGATGGCCCCTCTGGCATTCTGGGATCTTGATTCATTTTATGTGGGGTTCTGAAATACTAAAAGATATTGCAGAGTGCACCTAAATCACTTCATTTACGTGTCAGTTAAAACACACTTTTATCCTAATGTATCCAAAGTCTCAAATAACTAATGGTGTTCTGTTTTTCATATGTGAAAATGACTGTTTTTATTGTTTTATAAATTGTGAAGATAAATCTTATGTTGACATTTTCTGTGACCGGTAGTATGGATTTGAGACCTACTGGACACGTAGCTCAAGGTACAGCCTTTTACGAGGACACAGAATGGAAAAACTGGCCCTCGTGGGTATTGAACTTGAAACTTAGCTACAAGTAAACTGTAGGTAGTATTCACCCATCAGAATAAGAGAGAAAGAGGAAGAAGAAAATGCCATGATTTCAGTTTGGTCATATTATAAATGGGCACAATGCTGAGGCTCCGGCATGTAAGTAGGGTATAATTTCATTTCCTTCTATCTCTTTTTCAAATTCTTCTGCTTTTGTTGCTAGTGGCAATAACTACATTATTCTTCCTGTCTCTCTCCTTCAACCGTTGCTTATTTTTATGTTGTGCTCTTACCACATAGCAGTAATGTATCTTCTGTGGTGGCTCCGTATATGTTGAGAAGATAGTCCATGTATAATTTACAGACATTTCTTAGAGTGTATGATTAGGTTTTTTGAGTTAAATGAGAACAGAATTAAAATTGAATATATCGTGACCCTTTAGTGATTTAACAGTATTTTTGTTAAAATCACTTGCTTTATATTTCTTGTTTCCTAGTAGAAATATTAACATACTTTTTATTTTCTATACCTGACTCATAGAGATTAGTCCTTAACGTAATGTCAATTAGTGTATCTAATGTATATTCTACACCCACTTACGACATTTTGATTTATAGTTCTAACATAAATGATGTCCACATATGGACATAATTTTGTAACTATAATTATTTAGATTCTATCCATTTGAAACTTATTTAGTTATAACAAATATTCTATCTACTTAAACATATTTGTCATAGTATAAACCCATGTATAGGGAGGTGGACTCTGGTGGTAGTGGGTAAATTTAGGAAGTATTTTGATCAAAATTATATAACATTTACAGAAGTTACTTTGTTGAATAATTTTATTGATTTGTTTAACCATTTCTGCCTGTGCCTTAAAAAAAAAAAGAATACATCTTATCAGGTCATATGTTACCCTCCATGTTAGGCTACCCAAGATACCTGGGTCTAGAGGTAAAAACACCTCTTCTAACCTGGAATCCACATTTAGCTTTTCATGTAAATACAAGATTATGCAAGAAGTAAGATTATTTTCCACAGTGGTTCCCCTTCATGCCTCCCTGTCCCACCCACCTCTACTTCAAACAGGCCTTCTTTTGTGCACCTCAGAGGTAATTGCTATGTCAGAGTGGAGCTTGCAGTCTCAGGCTCCACCCTGGCTCTGCCAATTGATGGCTCGTTGGACAAGTCACTCACTCCTCCTAGGCCTTATTCCCTCCTCTGTAGGACTAAGAGCACTGGAATAAATTATCCCTAGTATCTCTGTCCCTTTCTTAGATAGTATTCAATAGCAGAAGCAAAACAGAGAGACTTTGTCAAATGGATTGATTGAGATTTGTGTGTTCTGTTTCCCATACTTTCAACCTCTCTGTGCTAAACCAAACCTAAACTATTCTTAGTTGTAGTTTTCATATTCAGTTCACTCTGAAAATAGGCCGCATTTTGGACATCTATAAGGAAAGTACAAATTCTCCTTTTTTCACTAAGTATAAATAAAACAATCTCACAAATTTGCTGCTACAGTTGGGTTCATCCTGATGGTCTCCTTGGCAGATCTGGAACCCATTAGGGATTGTGCAAACTCATGAGAAGTCTCAAACAATTATTCCTTCCAGCTGAAAACATGGTCGGCCGATACCAAAGGCCATTCTAGAACAACAGAAATTTATATTAGCAATTATTTTTTTAAAAACCTTGCCCCATGAAAATACCTTGCAAGCTATATACTATTAGCAAATGCATAGAAAGATTTCTCCTGTTAAGAAATTTATTCCAGGGTGCTTGGGTGGCTCAGATGGTTAAGCGTCTGCCTTCGGCTCAGGTCATGATCCCAAAGTCCTGGGATTGAGTCCTGCATCGGGCTCCCTGCTCTGCGGGGAGCTTGCTTCTCCCTCTCCCTCTGCCTCTGCCTCTCTCTCTCTCTCTCTCTCTCTGACTCTCATGAATAAATAAATAAAACATTAAAAAAATTTAAAAAAAAAGAAATTTATTCCATATCACAGCTCTTTTCTTATCAGCGATGGATCCAAATATAGGTACAACTTGTTCTCAGAAGTCAAAATTGTTGCAATAATTAGGAGGGTGGGAAAAAATGAGCAGATGATCTCAAAGGCTGCTTGCAGTTGGAACATTTTGTTAAAAAAAAAATATAGAGTAGCACATTGTCCATAGCTTTGCCTATAAAGTAACCAACCCTTTTTTCTCTAGAACAAAGATCTCTTTGTCCTCACCTATGGAGCTCTGGTTGCCCAACTGTGTAAAGATTATGAAAAAGATGAAGATGTGAACAAATATTTAGATAAAATGTAAGTAGAAGTCTTTTGTTCTCATGGAATGTATATTGTTAATATCCTCTGAATTTTGTCCACCTCTAATGATTTTGCCCTACTTCACGAGCTCTTCTATGATTTCAATGAATCACGTTTTAAAGCTGAACATCATTTCTGACAATGGCCATTTGGGTTGTCGTAAAGTATAAAGTAAGAGGAAGGAAACTTTTTTCTATGAAAATCAAGCATGGAACATATTCTTTTTAGGTCAAAATCATTTCTTTGCTAGTCACTTGTAAGCAAAAGTATGGTAAAACATTGTTCTTTTAACAATGTTACAGATCATCAAATTTGATTCTTTTCAGCAGTCTTTTGTTCTAAGATAACTCCTTCTAATATAAATATATGCTTATGTAAGTATAGACCATCTGTGGAAGGATATGCCAAAAATTGCTAATGGCAGTTGCCTGAGAGAATTTGGAGACAGGGGATTACCCATAGAAGAGAGATTTACTTTTTCCTATGTAGTGTTTTTATTGTTTGAGTGCTTTTACCATTGCTATGCTTTACCTAAAAATATATTAAAGGGAGAAACCCACCCTTTCCTTTTTTTTTTATTATGTTATGTTAACCACCATACATTACATCATTAGTTGTTGATGTAGTGTTCCATGATTCATTGTTTGTGTATAACACCCAGTGCTCAACGCAGAACGTGCCCTCTTTAATACCCATCACCAGGCTAACCCATCCTCCCACGCCCCTGCCCTCTAGAACCCTCAGTTTGTTTTTCAGAGTCCACTATCTCTCATGGTTCATCTCCCCCTCCGATTCCCCCCCTTCATTCTTCTCCTCCTGCTGTCTTCTTCTTCTTCTTCTTCGTCGTCGTCGTCGTCGTCTTTTTTCTTTTTAACATATAATGTATTATTTGTTTCAGAGGTACAGATCTGTGATTCAACAGTCTTGCACAATTCACAGTGCCCACCCTTTCCTTTTAAAATATACTTCATTCTCCTTGTCTTTATTAATGGAGATTCCCTCTGCACAAATTCAACCTTTAATTTTCTCAGAATAATTATATGATCATCAGATTATTGCTCAATAATAAAATATCTGTCAACATTTTTGAGCCTCTTAATTATGGATCCTAAAAAGGACTCTCTAACTGGGCAATGACTAGAAAGTTTGTACTAATTGGAAGATTTAGTTAGAAAGGTTGAAAGGGAAATTTAGCCTAGTTGAGCATTGTAGGGCTCTTAAAAAGGATTCATTGTGTTTTTAGTTGGAAAACAGAAAAAAGACAACATAAAGGAAAGCTTGAAAGGTTTTTTTTGAACCCTAGTTTCCTCCCTTTCTAAGCTTATTCTTTTTCTACTAGAAAGTTCTTTTTCATTGTCCTCTGTTTATTTTGGTTCATATAAATTTTTTTTTTCATTTCCTCTTCATTAGTCAGGAGTACTTCCTAAGATAAAATGTCTGTAATAGTGGGAGCTGCTTAACCTATTTTACCTTGGGTCATACTTAAGCCTGTGATACAGCATTTCCAGAATATATATCATTTTATGTAGCTTATGTTAAATTTGCATTGTTTTGTGGAACAGCTGTAGGAAATGAAGAAACTCATTTATTTGACTGAAAAAACATACCTTGGTTAGCTACTTGGGTGCACATTTTAACAAATAAGAATGAAATATTAAAGAATAAATTTTGAGAGTCTACAGGAAGGCCTTGCCTTAAGAAAAGCAATAATTCACATTTGGATTTCTTTAATAGCTTCTGCTAAAAACATCTTACATTTTTAATCTGATATATAAACTATCTACTTTACAGAAACATACCCTTTGACAAAAGCAAGATGTGTGTGTGTGTGTGTGTGTGTATGTATACACTTATACACACACACACACTGCACTGATCATAACATTCTGGCTTTTTTTTTTAAAGATTTTATTTATTTATTTGAAAGAGAGCAGAGTAAGAGAGAGGGCACACACGAGTGAGGGGGGAGGGGCAGAGAGAAAGGGAGAAGCAAGCTCCCCACTTGAGCAGGAAGCCCAACTCGGGGTTCTATCCCAGGACCCTGGGATCCCAGGACCCCAGGACCACAACCTAAGCTGAAGGCAGACACTTAACTGACTGAGCCACCAGGCGCCCCAACATTCTGACTTTCTATCACTTCCCACTGTCCAGGCTATAGATATGCGTGAAAATTAGAAAACACTGGGAACATTTTTTAAATCCCAGTACAACTATTTCTGTAAAGTATACATTCTGTTCTTCAAAAGTTTTTTTCAGTGTGAACTTTCTAGCTAGACTCACAAAATAGTTTCCTCAGAAGGCAAGTAAGTCAAATTGAATATTTCTACCTACTCCAAAATATCAATAAAATATCTCACAGATTTAGTGAATTAATGAGCACTCTGACATCAAATCTGCCCCCCCGCAACCACCCAGCCACCAAATAGCTCCACGACCCACAACCCCCACCCTTTCAGGCCCTATGGAACAGACATTCCCTTTACGCACTGTGGTGTCTTTATCTTGGTGGATCTTCTATTGCTCCGTTCACATCATTTCATTTGTCTATGTACATGTGGTTGTGAAATTAAAAGACAAGTTTTATGCCAGTTGTTTAACAAAAGCAGTCTTATTTCTTTTTATTTCCACCACTAAGGTCATATTTGCTCAACTAGATTGAAAGTTCTTAGGTCTGTCTTGTCGAAAGTGTCTGCTCAAGCATCTCAGCCACATACTCGGCTGTATTATGACATCTCAGTAAGATGCCTTCAACATTGTACTTCAGGTACTACTCAGTCCGTTTGTGGTAGGGTGAAGCTACCGGATAATACAAATACTTTCTCCCAAGTCCCATAGATTCAGTTCCCCTAGAATGAAAAATGAATTTTCTGGATGTCACTTTTTTTTCTTTTCGCTAAACTTCAGAGTTTTAACTGCAGAAACCTACGCTGACAACAAAAATTGATTTTTCTTTTCCCTTCATCCTCTCCTTCTGGAGCCCATCCTGGCCATGTCTGCACTTTTACCATGATAACTATGCTAAGAGAAGAATGAGCATCCAAGTACCACACCTGCAGTAGACAAGTTAGCTAGATCCTCATGCCATTTCCATCAACAGCTACTGATGACAAAGTTAGTTGCCAAGAAGATACATTAGGCTATGAACACCAACCTCCCTTAGCTTTAATATACACTGTCAAATTTGGGCCAGCCTTGCTTCCTCAGGCTTTTCTGCTCATAGAAAACTAGTTAATATTTCCCGGATAAATGCTCTCTGCTTCTGTATCTGAAAGACAAAGAGCCTACTGCCAAATAGCCATTAGACTTGTCAGATTTGGTTTACTTTATTATCCATGCAAAGTGCTCAACAGAGGACTCCATTCTTAAACACTGCTAGAGTTCACTACTCAGATGTTACGTTCAGACCATACTCTTTCCTTCATCACAGGGGGTATGGCATTGGAACACGGCTGGTGGAAGACTTTTTGGCTCGATCTTGTGTAAGAAGATGCCATAGTTATTCAGAAATTACAGACATAATTGCCCAGGTAAATGCGTTTTTAGCTCTTTCAAGATGTTTTGAAAATCTTTGATTTGTCCTCAGTTCTGTGGCTTTCTGCTCTGATTTGGGTAGGTTCTAGCTGTATTCATTATTAGGTGCTAAGAGATTCTGATTGAAAAGCATTTTATTTCAGAACAGGATTAAAGCTATTGTGAACAGAGATAAGTGCTTTTAGGCACTTAAGCATCTATAGATTTTTCTGACCACACAGTGTGTGTGGAGTGTATGCCCCACACGGGAAAATGTTTTGAGATAGTAAACAGAAAGGGAGTGTAATAAGGGCAACCTCATAACATGATATCCCAAACCGGTTTCTTTGTATAATCACTTTAGCACACAGAGGAAGTGGTCTTTGGCTGTCTCAGAGAATATTGTTGTGGCCATTTTATTCCCAGAGCAATGTTTCCCCAAGAGAAAAATAAAGCTTCCTGTAAAAGTATGTGCTCTAAGAACTTTCACAGCCCTGATATACCAGAGACAATTTGGAATCTCCTGAGACCAGCTCAGATAACTTAGGTAGAAGATGAGATCGGGAAATGCCTCCTTAGCCAGAATCCCTTTAATCTGCTGGTCTACGATTATTAACCTAGTGTCGTTCATTTGGGGGAGACCTGGCAAGTATGCCTGGGTATCAGATATTTATAAGGTTCATGTATACTGCCTCCAGATTCTCACAACAGACCTATTAAGTTGGTCTCATTCTTCTTTTCTCTCCTGACCCTTAATATTATTATTTCCAAACTGACTCTTCACGTGAGTGGCAATAATCGTTCTACATAGTGCTTTGTGACTCCAAATGCAGTTTTACGTATTCTTTTGTCTTTTACCCTTACGGTATCCCTGTGAAGTAAGCAGAGTAGGAGTTGTTCCCATTTTCCAGATAAGAAAACTGAGTCCCAGAAAGATTATGATAAAAATTGAGTACTAGTATATACCAAAAAAGTATGCATTCAAAAACACAATCCAAATGAAAGATTTTCCCAATTCTTGTTACCCTTACTCTCATTATTTCATTTCATTTCTCATATTTCATTATTTCGTGAATAATGTGGTTGAAATTGAAATCCAGTTCTTCTAGTCTCAGTGTAGTGAGTTTACCACACAACTAAACAGGTTAAAAAATTTTCTTTCCCTATTTGCAGAATATAACTAAAAGAATGAAGCAGTAGTTTGAAAAATAAAATAATTTTTCACTAAGCCAAGTTTATGTGCAATGCTAGAAAAATACGAGGTGTTTTAATGGGAAATATTTGAAATATATAAATGTAGATGGTTGTGTTCTGTTTCTGTAAAAATGCCATTGGAATTTTGATGAAGGCTGATTGCATTGAGTTAGTAGATCACTTTGGGTAGTATGGACATTTTAACAATATTTAATCTTCCAATCTATGAACATCAGATGTCATTCCATTTGTTTGTGTTTTGTTTAATTTCTTTCATCAATGTTTTGTAGTTTTCAGATACAAGTCTTTTACCTTCTTGTTTAAGTTTATTCCCCGGTATTTTATCCTTTTTCACTGCTATTGTGAATAGGATTGTTTTCTTAATTTCCTTTCTGGATAGTGTGTTGTTAGTAAATGGAAACACAACTGATTTTGTATCCTGCAACTTTCCTGAAATCACTTCTTAGTTCTAACAGGTTTTTTTTGTGTGGAGTATTGAGGGGTTTCCCACATATAAGATTGTATCATCTGTAAAAGAGAAATAATTTTACTTTTTTCTTTCCAATTTATATGCCTTTTATTTCTTTTTCTTGACTAACTACTCTAGGTAAGACTTCTAGTACTATGTTGAGTAGAAACAGTGAGAGGAAGCATCCTTCTGGTTCTTGATCTTAGAGAAAAAGTTTTCCATTTTTTACCATTGAGCATGGCAATGGGGAAAGGATTGTCTTTTCAATAAATGGTGCTGGGAAAACTGGTCGTCCACATACAAAAGGAATAGAATTAGACCTTTACACCATACACAAAAATGAACTCAAATGGATTAAAATGTAAACATAAGACCCAAAACTGTAAAATTCCCAGAACAGGGGCACCTGGGTGGCTCAGTTAGTTAAGCATCCGACTCTTGGTTTCAGCTCAGGTCATAATCTTGCGGACACACACACACGTTTTGGTGAAGATATGGAGAGAGTAGAACCCTTGCACACTGTTGGTAGGAATTCAAAATGGTACAGCCACTATGGAAAACGGTTTGAAAGTTCATCAAAAAATTTAAAATAGAATTACCATAGGCTCTACCAATCCCACTTCTGGGTATTTATCCAAAAAAAATTGAAATCAGGATCTTGAAGAGATATTAACACACTATATTCATTGTAGCACTATGCACAATAGCCAAGATGTGGAAACAACCTAAAAGGCAATTGAAAGATGAATAAAGAAAATGTAGTATATACATACAATGACATACTTCAAAAAAAAGGGGGACATTCTGTAATGTGAAACAACATGGTTGAACCCAGACACAGAAAGACAAATACTGCATGATTCCACCTAGATGAGGTATCTAAAATAATTAAATTCATAGAATCAAAGAGGGGACGGATGGCTTCGGGGAGGAGGAAATGGGCAGTTATTAACCAATGGGCATAAAGTTCCAGTCAAGCAAGATGAATGAGCTTTAGAGGTCTGTGGTACAACATAGTACCGGTCGCCACCAATAACATATTGTACATCTGTAAATGTGTTAAAAGGGTAGATCTCGTGTTAAGTGTTCTGATTCCAATTTTTAAAAAATTTTAAAAGAAACAGGTCTGTTTGATGTGAAACCAAGAACATTCGCTTTCCAAATTTCTCTCCTCCAAACTTTTTACATCTTTTTTTAATTTTTCTCATGTCATGGAAATTCTGATCTGCTCCTCCTGTCCTCAACAAACTGGGAATAAATCCACCTATACTCCTTTGCAAGATTCCTTCTTGCAATGAACAGAATATTTTGTCACTCTCACCCTTCTCTTGTGCAGAGGGGTTGTCTCCTGGTCTTTGCACTTCCCTTCAAAGTCCAGATTTCCTCCCTCTTAATCATTTTCCCTTCTCGAGCAAAATGTTCTTTTACATGTGGGAATGATGTCACCCAACTCAGAAGCATTTTAACACAGGGGAAGGGGCAGACCTTAGTTACATATGCACCCACTGATGTTTTGCTTATAATTGGCAATTTTCATTAGAAGGTCCGGCCTTCAGCAGCATTATCTCATTCATCTTTGTAAACTCTCCTGAGAGGAGGCAGGTGTCAAATGTTAGAGTCAATTTTAGGGGGGCGTGGAGCAAGGTCAGAGGAAATTTACCGTTCTCACATGCTGCCCATGGAACATAGTAGGGTCAGGAATAGAACCCAAACCTTGTGACTTTTGTTTGGCTGCCGCCTCAGACCATGCCCTCATACAGAACACAGCCATCATCCTTGTGCAGCTGCATTTCGAAGAGCTTTAGACCTCAGATTGCGCCATCTAGTGGTAAAGAGAAATCCCATGACAGACCAAATCTGCTCAAAAAAAGTGTAATCAGGCCTTATATTTCATATAAAAAAGAGATGACAGGCTAATTCTAAAGTCATATTCCTGCAACATTAAAATGTATGCATTTTTAAAATATAATTTTATCATATACAAGTCTACTTTTGTGTTGATTGCCTCAAAGCACTTCAAATTTTAAATAAGATGTATAATTTATAAAGATTGTCAGCAGCATTATAACATGATGTTTAAATACTATTAGTAATACAGCGCCTTTCTTTAGGAAAGCTCAAGGTAATTGCCACCTATTAATTTTTTCCCTTTCAAGAGTCTTGTGAAGTAAAAACAATAGCCATCATTAGCCTCATTTTACTGATGACATAATTGAGTCTTAGGATGATGTCACCACAGTTACATAGTCAAAAAAGCCAGCTGAGAATTTAATTTTTCTGATCGTATTCCAGTGTTTTTCCCAAAAGTAATTGTTTCTTTAAAATGTACCTGTGGAGGCACCTGGGTGGCTCAGTCGGTTAAGTGACTGCCTTCTGCTCAGGTCGTGATCCCGGGGTCCTGGGATCGAGCCCCACATCAGGTTGGCTGTTCACTGGGGAGCCTGCTTCTCCCTCTGCTGCTCCCCCTACTTGTGTGCTCTCTCTCTGTGTCAAATAAATAAATAAGATCTTAAAAAAGAGATATTAAAATTTACCTTTGAGGATTTTCTCCTGTTATGATTACTGTTCTGAGAAAATTGAAAGCGTGGAATTTTTAGTGGAGTCACCGTGGCTGCTTTTAGTTGTAGTAATGAAACATTGGAGAGTTTAACTGTAATCTAACAGGCATAGATCTTTCAGTTTGTTATAAAAGCAAGTTGAAAATACCTCGCTCTGGTCTAAGGTCTAAAACCTACTTCCTTAGTTACACAAAAATATATTTCATGGTTTCCAAACACATCCATGACAAATGTTTTATTATTAAGAGAAGCTAATTAGAGATAAACTTAATCCTTTAAAGTCAAGATGATCATAAACGGTAGGCTTGACAAGAGATATTATAACATCGCCTTTTAAAAGCAATTTAAACACAAGAAGCTCTGATCCTCATCAGTTGCAAAGTGATAATCTAACCAAATCCAGTGTAGTCGAGATTAAGATGAGTCCACATCCTACTCAGCCACATTCCCAATGCGTGACCCTGAGCAAGTCATGCAGCCTGTTGGAAACTCAGCTTCCCTATCTGTCAGGGGGGACCTCCTCCAGATGCAGTTTTTCTGATTTTCAGGCTTTGCTTTCCCTAGGCAAAATCTGGACATAGAACTATAATCATAAAGAGCTGAGTGTGATGGGTGTAGTTTCCAAAGCCTCCCTCAGAGCATCCATGCCGTCTAGTTACTGGTGCTGTTTACAACTGCTTGGCTTAGCACAAATTCTGTCATCAAAGCTGGGAAAGCTTTTCACTATCAAGTCAATGTCATCATGATGTCATTATAAGGGTTAGAAGGAATGTGTAATTTTTCAGTATAAACATCA